TTTATTTTATTACAGAGCTGTAGTATTATATTCTTACTAAGATAATTAACAATAATTAGAATATTTATAGAATTACTGTTTTTAGATAAGAAAACTACAAAGTTAATAACTATATTATATTAAGTTTGTTTGAGAATAGATAGAGATTTTAATATTTTTTTTTAATATTTATATTATACTGTTACTGAGCTGCAGCAGTCACAATTGTATATAAATTAGTATATATTTTTTAATATATTTAATCAGTAGAATTTTCAGATAATAATACTGTATATAATTTTATACTCTGAATATTCAATCATCAGTAAGTTATAAATATTTTATATAATTTATATTTATAAGAATTTTGAATTAGAGATTTATTATCTATCTTGAAAGTATAGACAGTTGTTATCATCAATTAAATATACTGAGATATCTGTTTTTGAATATATATTTATAGAAAATTAAAATACTTTACTTTATACAGCTTTTACAGTCTATTATCAGAATTTATCTATCTCTACTATTTATTTTCATTATTTTTTAAATAAAGATTTCTGAGCTCAGAACAGATTAATATATATATAAAAACTATCTAATTATATAAAATTTTCTATAATTACAGAGTTAATTAATTAATATTCTCAGTACTTTCATCTATTATCTAGATTATTAGAGAGTATATTTTATTCTCTGTAAAATAGAGTATCTGTAAGAGTATTTTCTATTTCTGATTAATAATAGATTATAAATAAAAAACAGCTGAGAAACAGTAATCAGTATATATATCTCTCTGTAAATTTACAAATAATTATAAAGTATTCTAAATTTTTATAATTAGTGATAATCTTGAACTTCTTAATGCTCATAAATTTAAATTCTTATTTTTTGAAATAATATATAATTATCAGAAGCTTTTTATTATAAATTTTATAGTTATATTCAGTAGATAATATCTTCTTTAAAATAAAGATATAGAGTTATAAAATATTTTTATTATTATATTATATCAGTACTTCATCTACTATATAATCTGAAATATCTATCTCAAGAATTATATATTTATCTGAGTTAAATAACTGCAGTATTGAAGTGATTGTGAATATATACTTCAATTTTTTGAAAGCAGTGTTTATTTCAGTGGTTCATTGAAATACAGTATTCTTTTATATCAAATTTATTAGTGATTATATAATATCTGAGAAGTTTCTAATGAATCTTTAATAGAAGTTAATGAATTCTAGAAAACTTCTAGTCTCTTTTATTAAGATAGATATCTCTCAATTGAGAATTACTTTCATCTTTTTAGAATTTATTTATATACTCTTTTCAGCTTTGATGATGAATTCTAGATAGATTATAGACTTAATTTTAAAGTTATATTTATCAATATTTACTTATAGTTCTGCTTTTTATAAACAGTCAAATATCTGTTATATATACTTGCAGTATTCAGTGAGTAATTCATTGATGAAAATCAGAATATTATTTATATATACTGATACAATTTTATTAAGCAGATTTTATAGAGCTCAGTTGATATATTTCTGAAATATACTGAAAATATTTACTAACTCAAAGAAAATTACTGTTCATTTATATAGTTTATAATATATATAAAAAATAGTTAATTATTTATTACTTTTATTAATTCTTATCTTATAGAAGACTGCAGAGATGTCAAACTTTGTAAATTATTTTATTTTTTTTATTTATTCAAATATTTTATTGATGAGTGAAAGAAAATATCAGTTTTTTTATATAATTTTATTGAGTTCTTGATAGTTAATACAGAATTATAAGTCTTTATCTAATTTCTTTATAAATAGTATAAATACTGTAGTAGATGAATTGCTAATATAAATAAAGTTTTTATTCAATAATTCATTGAGTATTTTTTATAGAATGAAAAGCTTATTGCATGATATACTGTAGAGAGAATCTCAGAATAATTATAGATTCTTACTGTTTTTTTTAATAAATTTAATTATATAATCTATATTATACTTTCAGTGAGAAGAAAGTTTTTCAGCTATTTTTTTATTAAATATATCTACAAAGTCTCTGTACATTTCAGAGAGTTCTTTATAAAGTTTTTTAAGGATTTTTAGACTCTAATTTTTCTAATATCTTTTTGATATCTGCTATACTAACAGTGAGTATCTGAATATTTTTTTTTTATATATTTAATAAATTAATAATTTGAATACTTCTGCTGATATCTGAATGAGATTAATAATTCTATCAATATTTTTTTTATAAGATATAATTATTTTCTGAAAAAATAAGACAGTGATTATATATATCTAATAAGATTTCAAATTCTATAAATTATAATAGATTGAGTATTAAATTGTATTTAAGATTCTGTATTTTGTATATAAAAACACTCTTCTTTTTATATTCTTCTATATCAATATTGAATTTTACTATATTATAGAAAATGAATTCTCTAGAGCTATTAAATTCACTCAGTTTATATAATTCAGAAAAAAGAATATACTGAAGTTTATACTTTTCTACTAACTAAATATTTATAAAAGTATAGTGAAGAAAATCACTGTCTATTATTGTATATATATTAATCAAGCTATTTATAATAATAGAGATTATAATTATATTCACTTATATCTTCTACTCAAATCTTTAGCTAGCTTTTTATTTTTTAAAATTTTATTTATATTTTAGAGTAAAAGCTCTTTTTTTCTCTATTTTTATTTATTTATAAATATAATTGTGTTTATTTACAGTGTAGAAGTAGAAGCTACTATATTAATATACTGATTTATAAAGTACTCTGATTTATTGTAATAAATACAGATATCTCAGATAATTTAATCAGTAATTTTTTATTCAGAAAGATCAGATATTTTTAATTATTCTATATTTATATAAAAAATTTAATTTATAATATCTGCAGAGACAGCTGATGCAGTTGATATATTAATAGATATATAATTCTATTTATAATTGTTATATCTTTTTTAAACAGTATTAAAGTATATAAAATTATTGTTGAGTTAATATAAGTGAGTGCAGTAGTTATAATAATATATAAATATAAGATATAAAATACAGAGCTTGAGCAGTTCAAAGTTAATATACTAATTTAAAAAATTAATCTTAACAGTATCATCTCAGTTCTAATCTTCTATTTTATATATCTTATTATTGAAATTAAATAGATAGTTTATCAGTAATATATTTCTCTGACAGTTTTTATTCAATTATTGTATTATATATACTTGAAATATAGAATTCAAAAATAAAATATCTAGTTGATAGAAGACTTCTTCAGAGATGTATATTTTATATATATATAATTTAATCTAAGATTAAAACTTAATTAGAATATCTTTTTCTAGTCAATTATAAATATAGTAAGCTTGTAAAAACAAAAAGTCTATCACAGATTTATTTTTTTTAAGCTTAATTTTTATTTTTTATTTTCAGACTAAATAGATTAAGAGTTCTTCTATAAATTTATTGAGAAGAGAGAGATATTCTCTTTTTTTATATATAAAAAATATTGATATTTATATAATTTTTGATGTATTTATATTCAGATTATTCAGTTGTCACTGAAGTTTTATTATTTATAGAGATTATTACTGAAGAAAGTTACAGAGTTCAATATTATCTTCTATAAAATTTCAGTTTTTATCTGTGAAAGAATATTTATAGAGATGTTTATAGTTTATTTTATTTTTATATAAAATTATGATTTTTGATTCTGATAACTTGAAAATCAGAAGATTCAGTTTTTATTCTTTAAAAAAAATACTTTATAGACACTCTGATTTCTTTATAGATATACAGTTGTAGACTTCTAAATATTCAGACTTCTTCACAGTATTATTACAATAATACAGTTTTATAGAACTTGAATAACTTATTCTTAAATTTAATTTAAATATCTAGATATAATTGTAAACACAGAGCACTCAGACTGACACAGATTAATCAATTTATAATATAATAAATATATCATCAATTAAGTAGATATTACTGATATTATAGATTAAATTATTTATATCATCTGCACAGTTTATATAATTCATTTCAATAATACTATCAACAGATTTAACACTATTCTAATAACAGTTTATAAATTAATTAAAAAAAGAAAGAGAAGAAAGATCAGAAGAAGAGGTTGTATAAGAAGATTTTTATAGAAGAAGAATTGAAATAGAAGAATATTAGAGATCATACTGCAGTGAAATGCAGAGTGGAAGAATGTTAAAGATTACACAGAGAAATCATTAGAAACTACACAAGTACAGAGTAGAATCATGAGAAGAGGGGTGTTTTGTGGGTACATGAGAGCACATGAGAGGGCAAATGAGTGGTAGAGGGTTGGTTGTGTAAGTTAACTACTAACAGGTGCTAACCTGTCACAATTTTTAATCATTTCCCTCAATCAAAGCTCTTCTAGCCTTCATCAGGATCCCTTCTACTGATCAGTGTAGCAGCTCGCGAGACATTAGATGTCAGATAGGCAGTGGAAGGTTCTTAATATATTTAAAAAAGCAAGCAATCCGGGCTATAACCTGTGGGACATCTAAGTGGTTGTATTAGCATGCAGACAGCTGAGGCATATATGTGTGGTATGCTAGTCTGTGATAGGCAGTCTAGGGCTAACAATATCTACAATGTTCAGTCAGAATACAGATCTGTATAGAACTGAATATGGTTTTTATGTAAAAGAGTTCTGCTCTAAACCATGCCATTGTTTATTACTAGTATGAAAAACTGAGCATGGTTTATCTACAGGACCCACTTTTTTAAAACCATGTTCATATTTGAATAAACCACATTCAACTGTAACTTGCACTTGGTCTTATCTAGATAGAATTCCAACATTTGACTAAGATGGCTGCCAAGTAAACCAGATCATTTGTCTCTGGATATCTTTCAATTGATATCACACAATGAATGGATGTTTATAATTTTTATTGAAGCATTCTTGTGGTCTTCTTTGCTTGTCAGTGCTATTTGATCCAACAGTTACTTCAATCATGCCTTCTAAAAAGAAGCAGCCTTACCCACCTCTCTTGATCGTGCCTTCTGTCGGCAGCGACCGTACTCATACGGTGATAGTGCTGCACGGCCGAGGAAGCAATGCCAACTGCTTCGGGCCTGAATTTCTGAAGTCTGCCAATCTGCCCGCCCAGCTTCCAATGGTAAAATTCATCTTTCCCACCGCCAGCAAATGGCGCTCAACATTATTCAAGAAAATGCCAATCAATCAATGGTTTGATATCTTTTCACTTGAGGAGCCTGGGGAGAGAGCTGATCTGCAGATTGATGGGTTGTGTGAGACAGGGCAGTTTTTGAGAAGATTGATTGAGAGTGAGGCAAGCCTTCTGGGTGAAGATGGGCATCGAAAAATCGTTTTGGGGGGATTGAGTCAGGGCTGTGCGGCGGGGATATTTACTTTACTTGGTGGTGGCTTTGGATCTCATGGTGATCAAGCTCTTGGTGCGTTTTTCGGCATGAGTGGATGGTTGCTGTTTGAGAAGCATGTTCGAGCTATCTTCAGCTCTGCTCCTTGTGGTGATGAAGATGATGAAGCTTTCTCTGCCTCTGGAAGTTTTGGTGGTTTTGAACGCGAGGGTGGTGAAGTCGAATCACCGCCGACTCACCAAGCCTTGAATTACATCCGCGACATTCTCGACCTCCCACCTTTATCAGAGTCCCCAGGAGAAGGACTTGAACCAACGCCTCCAGAGGCCTCCCTACGCCATCTCCAAACTCCAATCTTCCTTGGCCATGGTTCCGCCGATCCAAAAATCTCGGTCCGCCACGGAGAAAGAATGTCCAATTTCCTGTCAGAACATGTGCGCATGGATGTTACATGGAAGGTATATCCAGAATTTGGGCACTGGTATAAGATTCCGGACGAGATTGATAATATTCTCCTTTTTTTGAAAGAGAAGGTCGACCGTGGTCTTGGTTCTTAAAGGGACTGAGGCAGGGGACATGTGCAACATTGGGACACACCCGTCCAAGAAGACCTTTGATGATTATTGTGGGGTGGTAGAGAGTATGTGAGCGAGAGCTTCTACAAAGATGCAGGAGTGGTAGTGGGGGATGTGGTTGATACTTATTCCAAGCACTTTCTGAGCTGAAAACTATTCTTCATAATGCAGTATATTGAGGGGGGGGCTTCATGACCTCCTTGCTAACATTCCTGTTTTAACCCTAACAGTGAGAGCAGACTGCCTCTAATAGTTTATAAAGATATATAAAGAAAGATATATTTTACAGTGAGTATACTTACTTCTTTTATAATAATTTAAATAAATAGAATAAAAATCAGTGAAATCTATATTTTTCATAAAGTATATCTAAAGATATGATTGAAAGTAATAAAAATATTCCATCTTTAATTGAAACAATGATAAATGATAATAAGAAGATGAAATAGAAAAGTCATAATAGAAAACAATAATAAAAATATATTCAGAGATATTGAAGTTAATTATAGTCTATAGATCAGTATTTAGAAAAATTAAGTCTTTACTATCAATTTGAGAGGGGGGATTTTGAGTATTTTAATTAATTAGAGATTCAGAAATCTGCTCTATATTAATAATATTCTCATAATTTAAATCATCATTTTACAAACTTTTATATTCAATCATTTCAGTTATAAAATGAAGCATCTTTCAATCTTTCAAGAGCTTTGTATAATTCTTAGAGACTTCACTTCACTTCATTTAATAATTACACTAATTTTTAGACGCAATGAGATAGTAGCTGTTTTAAAGAGAATAATTATAAGAAATTTATACTAAAATATTAATATTAAATTGAAGTTGTAATAGATATACTTGTTCACTTGCTGCGGATCAATGAATCTGTCCAGCTTTCGATGGGTTACGCAGCAGCGAAAACTGCTGCTATTTTTATACATGGTGATATTGGTGCTTTTGAATTTTCAATGCGCCCTGCTCAACAATCTGTTGAAGCTTGGTAGGGATGGTCCGGCGCTTCAAGCTTGATTTCTAGGTGGTGGAGTCTAAGTCAAAATAGAATAGAACTTTCAAATGAGAACCTAGGAACCTGAAGCTTGCGCTTGGCTGTTCATTACTTTTGGGGAACTCTTTCTCTGTTTGTCCTCGGTGACCTTTTAGGATACGTCTGAATCTCCATGTAAAGAAGCCCGTTATTTATCTGATCATGTCACCTTTGCTTCCTCGGATTGGCCAAATTCTTCGAGGAAGACTGGGAAACTACGTCATCACATCACAGATTCAGGAGACAGTGTGGCTTGCAAAGTAAGCTCCTGAAAGTCTTAGAGAAAAGAATAGTCCAGGTACTCATTTTTGATAGAGATCAAACAGAGCAATTTGTCGTCGTTAAAGGCGTCCACGGCCATCCTCGCGTGGAAAATGAACGAGACATTCTGAAACGCTTTCAGGACCGAACTCCCTTCCTGCGACGTTTAATGGACGAGATTGAAGATCCGTCAGACCCCACAATCATCGTCTTAAAACATCTTGACGATCACCTTCTTAACGCATCTATTGAGAAGACGTTGAACAGAAAAGAGCTGAAGTACGTATCCAGACGAATCCTTGAGGCATTAAAGGTGCTTCATGAAGATGGATACGTGCATACAGGTTCGTGAACAATTGTCTTGCCAGCTTTTAGCTTGCCTAATTGAGTATCATAGATGTTAAACTTGATAATGTCTTTGTGAACTACAACAGACATGACACCAATGGCCTACGGTTTTCAGATGTCCAGCTCGGTGATCTCGGCGGCACCTATCCTGCGGACTCAAACTGGGCAAGGAAAGGGACACCGGTTGGTGCACCCATGTGGAGTAGTCCGGAGGTGATCATGGAGACTCCCTGGAATACAGCAACGGACATCTGGTCGTTTGGGGCAGTTGTAAGTCCCTGAGGTTTCCTCGCGAGCTGATCAAGTTCACCAAGCGCTAATCAATTGGGATATAGCTTATAAGCCTGATTTATGGAGGAAATTTCAACCTTTTCCGCCCCAAAACCGTTCCTTATGGGCACGAGGAATATGGGTTGGAAGTTCTCAAACAGCAATTTCGGTATTTTGGTCCATTTCCTGGAAAATACGAAGAAATTGCAGGTCCCATGACTGTTAGAGCAATTTTGTACCTCATGCAAGAGATACCACAGTCAAAAACGACACCTTTCTGCCGGACAACAGAGAAAGAGGTTTGTAAGAAAGATAAGGAGTTTATTAGCAAGATCATGATGATGGATTGGAGGGATAGGCCTACGGCTGAGAAGTTGCTTGAGGATGAATGGTTTAAAGAGGAGGATTGAGGACAGATATGGGCTCAAGCACGCCGAGTCACAAGCTAAGCAATACAAAGATATGCTCTTACTGGCCTTAGAGGATAGGCATGTGATATACAATTTGGAACAAGTCAAATGGGGGAAATATAAAAATTCCCCGGGCGATTGCTATATTTATGTTGCCATCCTAGAAAATCCTATAAAACATACTTGGCTTCTTGTTTTTCACACTCCTGTTACAGCAAGCCTTAGCTTAATACTGCCATAATAAATCATTTGCGCTAAAATCTTGACAATAGGTCCCCAAAACTCTCACCACATGTGGGAAAACGCGAGCGAGGTTGTCCAGCCCCCGCAATGGTTATCCTGGTGCAGCATCAGTCAACCAGACCGAAGGCCTCCGGCAAGCAGACTTATCCAAATAAGGTTCGACACCTCCGTGGCCGGGATAACAGCCAGGGGGTTAGTGCTCCCGATGACGATAGCGACTTCGTTGACGTCGATCCGCCGTCCACCGAAGATTTGGAGTCGGATGCTTAGAGGCAGCCCGGCAAAGGGAGAATCTTTTCTGTCCCTTCGAAGGCAGCTGGCTAAATATCGGTCTCGAAGGACGAGAGGATATGTTCTTGGGTCCCCGCAACCCCCCTTGTGGTGCCCATGGATATAAGATATGCTACTCTTCGATGGGAGCTCACTATTGTGTCGGCATTTTCTCATCATGTGCGTTAAAAAGCTTCTAGAAACCAACAACGCCTTTGGAACCCGGCCACATCTAGATATTTAGTGGTTCAAACTTATTGGCTGCAGGTGTAATATAACAATGTTCCCGCCACCCCTCCACGAGCTGTAAGGATGAGATCGCGTGTAGAGAGGCCGCAGAGGGCTGGACAAGTGACTGCTGCCTAGGAAAGCCACACAAGGGTGCGTTGGCTATTGATGCAGCGACACACAATATTTGCCCCGGAGCAACGGGGTATGAGATCCGCCTTGCTCCCTCCCACGAAGGGTATTTTAGATGGGAATGGGCCTGTTCCTGCCTGTCTTTTCTCAACAGTCTTACTCACAGAGTAAGTCATCCAAATCCTATTGCGAAGAGGTCTATCAAAGGCGATAGGTATCCGTCGCTATCAACCTCGATTCATCTGGCCTTGTAAATACGTTGCTGGTTTGGAATGTAAGTTCCGCTTTGGCGAGTTCCCCATCGCTACTTATCACAATTTAGCCATGGATATGATCCTCAACCCCCAAAAGGTCGACGTTGCCTACCAAAAATTCGTGAAACCTCCTGTTGGGCCCGGCCAGCCTGCGTGGCTTTCGTCGCGGCGTGACCTTAGAGGCATGGGGTTTCCACTTCGATCTCAGTGACCACACACGCCAAGTCCCTGATACTAGGCCGGGGGCGACACCGGGGACAACAAGAACCACCAACATGTTTCAATGGCAGGCCGCTTCAGGCTGAGTCCAAGTCCATCAAGGACATGGATCAAGGAAAATGGATCCCACTCGGTGATTCAGACCATCGAAATTCCCCAAAATGCCACCATGGAGGAATTCAAGAATACATGAGAAAGGTAGCGGATAAGCTTTAGACTGCTTCCCAAGTTTTCGAGATTTCAAGTACCTACTTCGGGCTTGCGATGCGGGTGCGAAGGAACACTTACACTTTTCATGTGCCCAAATTGCATGCTAATGGCTCGTTAGTCCTGGAGGAATTGAATTGTTTTCGTGTGGGCAGTTCTGCGAATAAGTGTAGTTTTTGGTTTACATTCTTTTCCGTAGTATACAATGATGTGATTTAAAAAGTGGCATGCTTCATATATACACTTATTGTGCAGAGAGACCTTGTTTGTAAGAATCGAGCGCCATGGGCCGTATGCATGACAGAATTGAGGGCCATAAATACGCAGTGGTAGAGCCGCCCAAAACTTCAGTAACTATTGAGAAGCGTGGCAAGAGAGAGAACTGTGGGATGGTGTGGTTGCTAGCTAACTATATAGGGGTAATCACGTGCGTTGGAGTGGCTGCCTGGGAAACTACCTAGTTCCCAACAAAAACACTCCCCCGATCACTTGTGGGTTCTCAGTCGATTGGGGTCCTTGGAAAGTCCGATGAATTCATTTTGCTTTGGCGCAAAAGATTTTCAGCGGTTGGCCAGCTGACAAAGTTTTCTTTCAGTGGAGAGCAAAGGATCTTCTGAAAATATGGGCCAGGTACATCAAAATTTCCCATTTTCACCTCCTATCACCTACGGTTTTGCTAATTCCAGCGCGTTGACTCAGCTAACCATGAGAATACTTCAACTCTACCATCTTGTCCCACAATCCGCCCGTCTCCTTCTCTATCGCCTCCTCCTACCAATTGGTACATACCTCTACGATACCGGGACTTATGGTGTGCTTAATGTTCAACGACTACCCTTCAATCTATACCTCAAACGGGCCCCATCTCAGCGTCTCATCAATGAAGCCCGTGCACTTGAATTGGTTGCAAAACACACAACATTAAATGCACCTCGAGTTCTTGATTTTATTGAGTTACCAGCAGCAAAAGAGTGTTGGATGTTGACCACTCGCATTGTGGGTGACATTGCAGGAAAATGCCTCCCATTGATGGATGCTGAACAACTAGAGCAGTTCAGCATTGATTTTAGGGATTATGTGGAGCAAATTCGATCTATCCCAAATCCCTATTCCCATCTTATCTGCAGCCCACTTGGTGGAGAGTGTCGGGATTGTCGAATTGACCATGACAATGGCGGGAATGGACCCTATGATAAAATTGAGGATCTGAACAAGCGTCTCATAAGCATCTCTAGCCTGATTCCAGAAGAGGCTGATAGAGCTCTGGTTGCAGAGGTGCATTCCCGGCCATACCGAATTTTCTTCACGCATGCGGATCTCAAGCCAGGAAACGTGCTGGTACATAATGGTAGATTATCTGGGTTTGTTGATTGGGAATTTGCAGGTTGGTATCCTGAGTATTGGGAGTACAGCAAGGCGTGCTATGTTGTGTACAGATGGCAGCTTTGGTTGGAAACGATGAAAAAGGCATTCCCTGAATACTCTGATGAATGGAGAGCTGAACGGGTACTCCAAGCCCATACCTGTCCCCTCTGATCTACATTGTTGTTGCATGAAGCGCTTCCTACTTCAGTTTCAGATATGGCCTTGGGCATTGCTGGCCATCGTAATGAAAAAACCAAAGGAAGATTTCGATTAATCAACCCACTATTCAAGTGGCCAGTGCCCAGAATAACCCCCTGCGCCAACGGGCTCGGCTAGGATCGGTTTTAGACTTCGTAACCTGAAAGAAGGATGACACTCATCAGCATTTCTTCTTTCTACATTTATAGGAAGTGCACCTATAAATATAACCTGTCGCGCTCATATGCTACCGGCGGTAGATTCATTGGCCCTCGAGAGGCCATACACAAAACACGATAACAACATCGCAGGCGATCCTAACGGATGGGCTGCAAGCGCTCACGTTCACTACCAATGGAAACTCTTAGATGGCAATACCCCTGTCCCAGTACGTCCAGGGCGCATTCTGCGTCATGGTGGGAAACACCATCTGCTGGTTCACATTGCTTTACTGGATACCGCACGCGCAGACAACCTTCTCTCAAGGAACGTACGCTTGTCCTCTTTCATGTCTCCACCGAGGACTGCGCCCTCCTTTCTTCTGTACATGCTACCGAATGATGACAACCGATGGGAGAGTCATGAGCTGCCTCATGAGGATCACCTATATAAAGCCCCTTAACTCTGCCCTTGTCCCTGGATGTCTTCAAATCCAAACCAACAGAATCAGAATTGATTCGTCAGCTAGCAAATGCGAATCGATCGAACATTGAGCTAGGTACAGGGCCGTTTGTTGTGGCGACGTTGTAGTTATTTGGAATCCTGCTGCCAAGATATGTGTTTGTCCCTGTTTAAGCTAATGGGGAGCTGTTAATGGAGCGGATGCTCACCATGTCTCATAAAACACCTGAATTGTCGCTTCCTGTAGCTCTGAAAGTGATATATATAAGAGTGATTGTTCAAATGAGAAAGATTTTGAGTCTATGTTACTTTTCGTTCCCCTATCCCATTATTCTGCCTTGCTGAAGTTCGAACACGCTTGAAGAGGTCAAAACAGCCCAGATGCTACATCACGACTGTCTGTCCTTAACTGAAGATTGAAGGCAGCTTTTGTCCCCAGCAAGGTATTCAGAAGTTGTGATACCACATCTTGAATATGTTCAAATCTATCATCAACACTGTTGAGAGAACTGGTGGGCTGATATAACAGATCTGACATTGACACTGATGCTTCAGATCATAGACTTCAGTCTCAAGTCTGTTGACCAGCTCATTCTTTCTAATGATTTCTACACACAGGTGCTGCACTTCTTCTTTCAGTGCTTTTTTCTTCACATGCTTCATCTCAAAGATGTTATGAATTCTCTAGTTTGCAGTTTTCTATCTCAATATCAGCAAAAGAAACAGCCCCACCATGAGCCATACAAGAAAGAGTCTTACCAAAACTGTGTCCAAGTTGGGTAAGTTGGGTATTTTACATTTTTTTTGGCGGCTGCCTCATTTCAGAGGGCACTGGGTCATCAAATAGAGCTTCATACACCAGATTGCTATAGTCTGTGTGGAGTCTCTTCCTTTGCAGCTTTCGTGCCGGGGGCCGGTGTTCATCCATCTCCACATCTGAACTGATGATGATAGTGCTACAAAGCCCATTGTGGGGACTATCAGCTGACACCATGATCGAAAGATGGCTGTCCCCTGGAAATGCAGCCCATTAGAAATGGCTTGTGCTGCAAGGAGGTGACTCCGGATGCAAGGTTGTGGGTAGAAAAAGAAAGAACCCTGAAGAGCTCCAGTTGGGGGGTGGGAATAGATTCTTTTAGGTTTGCTCGGTCATCTTCGAGTACACAAGGGCCTCTCGGTGGGTTTCAGTCTCACAGCAGTGTAGGATGGGAAGCGGGAAAGGAATTGAAAGAAAGATGGATCCAAGGGGGAAGGGAGCCCATATATATACCCAGGGCCGGGGACGCTCGGCTTATGCTTAGGAGTGAGAAGAACGATGGATCTGGAGGGGAAGGGAGCCCTATCCAGGCATAGAAGCACGGCGCAGCAGCCAACAATATCCGAGGACAAAGTCTGAAAATAGAACTCGTGCAGCAACGGCATCCCTTCCACAGCTGTCGCATGTGAATCACCATGGGGGGGGGGGGGGGGACAAGAGCGCGGGTATCATTCGGCTGTGGCTGCGTACAGTTGGCCCCTGAGGAGAAAGATAAGGATGCGGTCAGGCGAGGCTACCTCACCTGCCTACCAAGGGCCGTTAATGAACGGCTTGGAGAGGCTGGCCGCCTTTTATGGTCAATCATGATATCACTTTCATGTACATGGATTAGCATTCCGTCTCACCCTCTGGGGCTACAAATGCTACTATGACACCAGCGCCCAGTATCTATCTCTTCGGTTCGGCTTTACACATTCCCTCTCTTGTTTCCGAAGCGTAGATACCCGCTGGTGAAGTGCTGATTCCACCCTTTCTGGAAAACACCTCTCCACCTCCAGCCAGGGTCAGCACTCATCCATCATGCTCATGAGCTGTGTTCCCTCCTTGGGGAGCCATCACCACAGCTTGTCTCTGTGACCCTTTCTCCCCTCACTGCACTCATGCTGAGTTTCTCCAATCTTGTGAGAAGTGAAGCAACTGGCTGATCACACACTCTCATCTCCCCACATTGCTGGTGCTGAGTTGGGCATGCAACTTGCTAAAGCATCTTCAAACAGTCAAGAAAGAAACTGCAGACACTTATCAAGCTGCAGTGACAGAAAATGAAAGTGAAGAGCTGTGAAGAGATCTTTTATAGACAATAAGAGACAACATAAAGCTGCTTTGTAATCAGTTCTTCTAGCTGTTGTGACTCTCACTTGCATCTTCTGAACTGTGTGTTGCTGAGAAAGTTATCACTTATGCTGTGGGATCAAGGCACATCAACTTCAGTGCTGCAATGAATGGAGTGAATCTGTCAAAGATTCAGAATATAAGTGTCATCATCTATTTGAGAATTTCTATTCCAGCTGTCAGACCTCTGTCTGAATTCTTGATGATGATTAAGAATGTCATAGAAAATTGATAGAAGATATTCAGAATATGAATAAATGATTCTTGAGCTTGTAATGTCATCATATTGCTGAACAGACTGATGAAGATTACTAGTGTCTTAGAGTATATCATCAGCAAGAATTTCTGAGTCAATGAGAATGTTGTTCTGAAGATTCAGAAGTCTGAAGAAATCTTCTAAGCTATCATCTGAGCTAATTACATTAAGCAACAACAGATCAAGCTCTGTGGCATCTCTCTCAAGGAGAGACAGATCAATCAACATAGCAGAGATATTATCTTGAATATCATGAAATGAAGTGATGTGTGAATTTGAGGTGTGATTTGCAGGTTCATGGAGAGATGATATATCATGCTGAGGGTTCTTTGAACTGGGTGATGATATAGATATTTTTCCTGATTGAGAGGGGGAGTTCAATGGTGAACATTGCTGCTGATGGGCACGCAGACTTTGGCTGGTGGCTTGAGAGGAAGGCCATGCTTGCAGGGTAGCAGAGCATTTGCAGAGGCATCACAATGTGAGACTGGGGGGGGGGGGCTTCTGGTCTCTAGAGTGAGAGAATTGGGGCATTTGTGCAGTGAGAATGGCTTGGGGTGCCGCAGGCACCGCGGCGCCCATGGCTTGAAGTTGTTCGCGTGAAACACAAGGGCCATCTGGATAGGGGATTGGGGATTTGAGAGGGGAGATTTTGAGAGATTTTGAGTCAGGGGGCGATCAAGGGAGCAGGAAGGAAAGTGGGAACTGAGCCTGAGAGAAGGGCGTGCGCGGGGTGAGAAAAACAGATAGCAAAGCACCAGTATCTTGAAAATTCTGCAGGAGGCTCGGCCACCCTTATAGCTCCTCTCAGCACAGAGGCTCCACCATTTCACAGTCTCACATCTCCCATTGGAGAGGGAGCAGAGGGAGCGAAGAGGCGAATTCCTCCAATCCCTGGATCCCCCCTGCCCGCCTTGGTCCGAGCTGCAGGCGCACATGAGCACAAATGAAATGCAGCATTTTTGCTATTGGCCTGTGGAAAGAAATGTGACAATGGCAGTCAGCCTTGATGACTCAAAAAGCAATGCAACCCACATCACTCAGGCTCAGCAAGCACTCTGATTCCCAGTCCCCAGACATCAGCTCACTGATCATCTCAATACACTTGATCAGCCACCACCTCCTTCATCTCCGCACACAATCCCACTGATGGAAGGGGTTTCAAGACAAGCTGAGTCTTGAAAAAGAGACCTTCCAATGAGTTAAAATTGAAAAAAATTGAAAAATGAAAATGAAAATAGAAAAATAAATCAACTGGAGAGTAAAAATTTCTACTGTTTGAAATCACCAATCACACACCACAGTGAAAGGCACATATGCAGAAAAACAGGGGTGCGGACACCCCAGCAGCCTCAATCCCAGAGTCAAGCAGAGTAGCATCACAAAGAAGCAACATGGAGGGCTCAGAGGCCAGCCAAGTGGTATCAGACAGCAGCTCAACAACTCCACAGGCAGGATCAAGACAGGTGAGGGCTGGATAAGACAGCACCATCCCTGCAAGGGGGGAATGGAGAAGGGGGCAAGTGCACGCAAGCGCGAGAGCCAGAGGCAGAGGCAGAGTGAGAGAGAGAGAGAGAAAGAGAAATAAAGAAGAAAGGAGGGAGTGTGTGATTGCTGTGAGAGATGTGAGATGGGTTTTTATAGATCACAGCATCTGTTGAAGCAGTGTGAGAAGGTGCAAAAGTGATGAGGGGGCTGCTATCTCTGAAATGGCAATGGTGATGCTGCAACGGGCCTTTGCGCGCGAGGTGGACCAATGGCGACCACACTCAGCAGCTGGGCGCCCCGCTAACCAGCACAAAAGATACTCAATTTTTATATATAATACACATCACATCAAGCAAAGCAGAGTTTAATTAAAAGTGTTTTTATAGTGGGTAAATTTTTCATTCAAATTAGAGTTATTCAGATCGCGTGCAGTGGGGAACTGATCTTCAACACTAGACCGCAATTGAATACCACTGTTCTTTCCTCTGAATTCTCTGCCAAGTGCCAACCTACCTACCTACACGCCTATCTGCCGGCTCAATATCCGATCAATTGCTGCTGGAATAGAAAATGCTAGCTATCTGTCTACCTACTGACCTCTGTCGGAAATAATATCTCATATATCAAGGATCTCATAACATCTCGCTATTTGAAAACTGAGCACTGCCCCTCTGATAGATTCAAGCATTCTCTTCCTTATAAATACAGCCTAGTTATCATGTAATTATCGGAGTCAGAATAGTCAATTCGATTATCTATCGATATTCAGATTTTGGGTCAATATTCGGACATTATCCAGTTCCAACAACCTCTCTACCTGCTCGATATCCGATCGATTGCTAATAGAATGGAGAATGCTAGCTGTCTACCTGCCTACCTACCTATCTATCTGCGTGATATCCGATCTATTACCAATGGAATATAGAATGCCCGCTAGATAGCTAGCTACCTATCTACATTCTTACCTATCAACCAACCTTTCTGCTCAATATCCAATCAATCTCTACGAGAATAAACGTCGCTATCTAGCCACTCATCTATCGATCAATACTAGCTTACTAGCAGACTATCTATATACTGACCTTGAATGAATGATATCTAGCGATGATCTCCAGCGATGATATCTAGCAATGATATCTGTGATGATAAAATAAAATAAAATAAAATAGATACGTTTTTAATCTTTTTAAAATAGCGTTGAATTCTCTACAGTAGTCTCGATGATATTTTCTTCAAATAATTTTACTTTTGTATCTAAAGAGCTTCCGTTTTAGAGAAATAATATATCAAATGTATTCAATATCACATCAGTCATAGTATATCTTAATTTAAATATCTCATTTTTCTCAAAAATCTGCTATCTGGGCCATAACCTGTGGGATGGACCATGCTTGGTCTTGTTATTGTTGTTGGTCAGAGCTGGCTGGCTGTATAGAAGTCCTTACGTGCAACCAGTGCCCAACTGTTGGAGCAATTGGATTAGGTGATTCGTCCCCTCTATACCACCAGGGCGCTGGTGGTGATTGAGCTCTTTGGCCCCAGTGGCCTAACACCAGCAATACATATAACAAACATGGAATTGTGGTGAGGCGCACCAGGCACGCATGTGGTGGGAGAAGCGAAGGCACGTGTAATACCTATTATTTAGCCGTTTTATTATATTCTAAAATATAAAAACCCACATCCACACGCTTTATTCACGTTTGTATAGAAAAATTTACAAAGCACTAGGAGATAAAGATTGAGATTTGCCTAGGCTGTCAAACTCCAAGCGACCAACATTTCCAGTCTCAGTAATACATGCACAAAGGAAACAATACTATATAGATTTATCTATGAATATTACGCCTGCTCCGAATACCTAGGGTCAGAAACTGGTTTAGAATCATGGTCTGGTTCCTTTGCAACCCTTGTTGCCGAAAACTCAACAACCTTTTGGATTTGGCCCCTCGGAATGAGTTCCAAATCATCATCGACCCCATCCCTACTAGGCACGGTGTGTCCATCCCCTTTTGATATCCAGATGTTTTCCTCAGACGATGACCGTCCATTGACAATTGAGGTATCCGTCCTCATTCTACCATGCGTGGAGGATCTATGTTGTCGACTATAGTGGTTCTTTCGAGAGGGAGCTGAGCCAATTGTGCACGTGAAATCCCCAGCGTCAGTCCCGTAGATGCGTCCTCGGTCGTGTGGCGTGCGTCCACTGGTGTCTTGCGAGTGGAAGAAGATTCTGTATTTCATCAATAGCGGCTTCAGCGTCACAGCTGATATCGCTATGATGCTAACCCCTATCTCAGTCATGGACCAGACCATAATGTCGGCGTTCCCGTAGAGGAAATCTACTTGATCATATCCATGATGGATATACGTAAGCCGGGCTATTGTTGCAACGCTCGCTCTGTAGTGGGGGTGTTAGAACCGTTGCAGCTTTGAAGATATTTCACGCCGGAGGTCAAGCAGAAGCTTACATTGATCCAAATCCAAGCAGAATACCAGCAGATAATTTAGTTCGAGAGTTCAATTGTAATTTCATTATCATCAAGGCGGGCACTATTGCAAGTGTTATGTCACCTGCACAAACAACTGCGCCGTGGGCGTAGCTTCCGGAAACCACCTTGAAATACTGCCGGCAAGTTCCACCCTGATCATGCTGTCGTACCCTTTCCCAAGCAAAGCTCACCGGCGAGCATGAGAAGAGCGCGAAAAAGAAGTAGAAAGTTGTGAAAATGATTGTGATTGCACCGACTGCGTATATGGTCCAGACATAGATGCGTCCAACGACAACGACCCGTAATAGAGATAAACAGAAAGAGATCTTGATCAGGCCTGAAGTAATGATATAACACATATCGGCGAGAAAGAAAAACTGTGCTGGCTGTTAACAATGCAATCCTACAAATTCTCTGCGGCACCAAGATTTTCAGATCTGACCTTGACCGCCTCTGTGAATGCATCAAGTGAGGCTACAGCTTTGGTTCGTTTCCCAAGCCCAAAGGACGCAGACCTCATGAGGAAACTTGTAATTGCGGTGAACATGCACTGTAGAACAATGAATGGGTCGTTAGCCACGCACACGAGTCGGCAGTTCGCTGCTTCCCTTCCATGAAATGACAGTGCTAGACCATATAAGGACACCGGGGCATTCTCGGAGGGGAGTCTCCCACGTACCAAAGCGATGATCGCAAAGATGTCATCCAAACCCCAACGGGTAAGTTTCAGGCGCACATAGCAGCGCAATGCAACGACTATATATGACAGAGAAAGAAAAGAAATGGCGACGCCATAGATGACGCAACCTTTGTCCTCCATGTCGGCGGCGATCGCGCCCGTGAGAATTTCGATGAGGTCAAAGGAGAGTGCTACTGCATCGATCAAGGGACCAAAGAAAGAGGAAATCGTGAAGAACAAATAAATAGTGTCTGGGGTTCGAGAATCATCCCTGAGAACTTGGCCCAGACTGTGGCCATCCCTCCCTCCCTCGTGGAATTCTGTGGGGTATGGTGTCAAATCCCCTGAATCTCTCTGTATTGGCGGTGCTCGCGAGGTAAGAGAACGTTAGCAGAAACTCTATCAAGCCTCTAAGCGAATACAGAGAAGGATAATTTAGCGTGGTCATTCTACCCGGTTGTTAAGCAGTTTGACCGGCGCAATGGTGCGGCAGCATGACATCGATTGGCCGTGTTGACCACACCATTCCTCCGCAAAAAAGCAAGGTGGACAGGGCGGTGGAGATAAGCCGAGCAAATGCTTCGCGGTATGAGGGAACGGGAACGCCATCGTTATTTAAATCCGCGTTGTCTTCAACTCCCAGATTGCTTCCAGAGTCCTTCAGAGTTCCTCTCTCCCTTGTCTAGTCCGATCTGACTGATTAAAGTTGAACTAGACGAACGAGAGGATGGGATTTCCTGGATCATTTGGCGCTCTGACAACTCGCACTCGGAAGCAACAAGGCGCCACTGGTCATCGGCGCTGTCTGGCTGCTTCAGAGAGTCCAAGCCTCCAAGGTTTGTTGTCCCGCAGAGCTGGGTACGAAGAGCGCTTGTAGCATCCACATTGACTGTGGCACAGGTTGTTGGTTCATCATTCATCATCCAAGGAGTCAAGCAGCAACTTCAAGGCATTATCAATACTCATGGAGGGAGGCCCTTCGACGCTCAAAGGATGTACGGCATGTACTCCGTACTGCACTGTACATTACACAGATAGTGCTTTGCGAACACATCTCTGCACAGCATTTTTGAATGTACTCTTGTTAACGCGATTAAAGAACACGGAGGAGCTGTTTACACTTTTGGGGTAAGAATGCAGAGAAAGCGGAATACAGAGTGCAGAGTTTGTGGCCACAGAAATCACTTCAGACATGCAGAAACAAAAGTGTATTCGACAGCTAACTCTGAGGATGATGTCGCCGCCGGTTCACATAGCCTGGAATCAGAGTTTTCCAGCCGTGATTTGCGGCAGAGCAGGACGGCCGTGGAGTCCTCTCTGGACAACGGCCTGCAGCTATCTGGCTAGTGTGCTCCAATGTTCCGGCGAGAGATTTTTCCATCCTGATGTGCCAACATTGACTTTTCCAAGTCATTCTGCTCAATGCACCGTAAATACTAAGTTTGCAGACTCAACAGCCCGCTGAGTCCAGGCGAGGCCGCTGTCCAGCCGCAGCTGGAGCCAAAGTTCCAAGTACAGACGACAGAGAACATCGTCCGCAGTCTTCCAAGATTACCGTCACCCTGGAAGGCTGCAATTCGTCTGACTCGATCGGGATTCCACCTTAGTGGCTTTATTCCTCAAGTGGACTAACCGACCGGCTGAGCTCACCTCTCCGAGGCTCTCAAATCACTCCGCCGGTCTCCACGGATCCCGGTGGTTTCGTTAGTGGAATGCTTAATAGACTTTAGTGCTCGCCGCATCAAAATATCAGCGAGAAATCTGTCTTCGTGGATGCTTTTTGGCTTGCAATCTCCAGAGTACACCAACGTATGGATGCTGTGTCGGGTATCAATGAATTCTCCAGAAATCCCTTTTTGAAGCCCAGAAAGTTGAGAAATCTATAGAGCATATTCATTATATATCTCCACAATCGAAAATAAAAATTCTGGCGTGATGATACTGTCAAGTTCTTCAATCCTCATGCTGCTGCTGGGAGTTGCGGTGTGAGCGCTCACATGCTTGCTGCTGCTCCTTCCCTAGGTATCAGCAACAAGCTTTCCAATTGTAAGAATAAGTTATCAAATTAATTATTAAAAGAGCTTCATGGCTTCAAATATATAACTATATAAATACAATATAAAAACATAATAAAAACATAATAAAAATATAATATAACGAGAAAACCCTACATCAACCCATTATGTATTTCCCACACAGTACATGTGAAACGGGCAGGAGTCGAAAGCAGAGAAATATGGAGCTCACACAGTGCAGTTATGAGAAGTTGTTCATTTCTTATGTCCATGCATTAAGATAATTTATTTATTCATGTGGCTCGGATGTGCACTATATACATCCTAAGGTAGTATCTTCTTCATGCACCCGTCGAATATGCAAGTGCTGCCTATGGAGATCGCAAAATTAGTTGTCCGATTGTCAGAAGCGTCTTCGCTTCACTGCATGCATTCGACCAATTGTGGCGTAGTGGGGTGGCGCTTAGCATCGAATGATTTCTCAAGGAGGCTCTTCCTGTTGACACAAGAAGATAGCGGGTCTAACCTAACTTCTTCACAATAGAAAATGTTGCAGAGGCATCCTTCTAGCAAAAGAAAACAGTCCCTCCAAGGGGAAAGAAAAGAGAAAACAGAAGCCTAGAACATGCAAGAAACAACAACCAGCAATATAATACAATACAGCAAGATGTATACCATCAGAAACCATATTTGTGCATGATAGCTCTGAACGAAGGATCCTGCAGAAGCTGTGTTGCAGTCAGACGATTTTCTGGATAATAAGAAAATACACTGGACATTATGGAGTGCACATGTTTTTGCTCAACCGGATCAGCTTCAGGACAAAAGTATGCAATTGTTGATGCAAGATCATGATCAGGATCGGATGTTTTCTGCTGATCATACCAGGAATCAAGGCTTCCAGGGTGTGTGTAAAGGCCCTTCCACTCCTCAGGTAGTGGACCCAAACATCTAATGATACCAGATATTATTCCACCCTTGAGATGGGTAGGGAAGGGTGGATAGCCAAGGTAAAGCTCTGCAAAGAGGATCATGTAACTCCACATATCACAGGCGAAACTTGGACCTTTCCGATGAAGTCGGTCCGGGGAGCAAAATTGCATTGGTGGATAGCCGCGAGGCACAGGGTCGCCAAGTTTCACCGCCAGACCAAAGTCACCAAGATAGAATTCTTCTGTGCGTAAGTTCTCAGGGATCTTAGCAGGCCCAACAAGCTCTCCCTCCTTCCAGAGGTCAACAAATGGTATGATTTGTTTTAATGGCCGGCCGAGTGCCTTGTATTTAGCGCTTCTGCTGAGGTCATGCAGGGGAACCATGCCCCACATACAGTTCCTGTCATTTAAATCTATCAAATATCCATCAGATCATGTACCAACAACAGGAAAGAGAGTATTGGGCAGAGTTCACTCACCGCGGTGTATAATACCACCTTTGTGTAAATTTTCTAAGGCCTCGAGCAATTGCTTAGCTGCAGACATGCGAGTGGCCATGGGCATATTTCTGAGGATAGAAGGTTGAAGGCATGGGCCCATCAATGGAAACACTAGGACCCTGTGCTGACAACCGTTTCCAGGTAGTAGAAACGTCGTCAAAGATGTCACAAGGTGAGAGGTATCATATACGTTCTGGCGGATTTCACCTTGCATGCGGGCTTCATTTTCTCCCCATTCCCCTAAAGACATGACTTTGAGCGCTACATCCCTGCTATCCTGGAGGTCATGGGCCATCCAGACAGTGGAGAAGCCACCAGAGCCAATTTTATGCTCAACCAGGTATCTCTCATTGAGCACTTCTCCAACACAAATGGGGTAGAAGACATGTGGAGTTGTCTTCATGTCATACTTATGCCAGGGCTCCACAATCTCTTCAAGGTCAAGCTCCTCATCCTCATTGCTCACAAAGTCGCCAAAGTCCGCCGTGTCATCGCCGTTGGGAACTTGTAGTGCTCCTGCTGATATCGCCATCACTGGGGCGGAGGTGTTGGTTGTTCAGGGCGTAAGGCATGCATGCTATCGTGGGTTTTGTCGCCAAAATGATAAAAGTCGCACTGGTGCTCAACGCGACTCGTGGGACAGTTAAAGGAAGTTTGTAACATTTCCCAAAAGGTGGAGGATGTTCTGAGTCATCAAGTGTTGGAGGGATTGGAGTGGTACCCTCTTTACCACCACGGCGATGGTGGTGATTGAGCTCTTTTGCCCTAGTGGCCTAATATCAAGAGAGCTCGCTGGTTAACTAGCAGACCAATCAACTCTCGCGCGAATCATTGTAAGAGAGGTTGAACTTGGTTGGCTATCATTAGCTACAGTGCCTCGCAATAAGTTTGAAACTATTGTGACTTCTCATCAAAATCTACTAGTCCAAAAGTAGTTTAACTTGTAGTAATTAGTTGTGTCACAAATGCATCCATTTACCTGTATTTTTCCACTCATCTACACCATTCTCTACTTTTTTATTCATTTTTTCTATCTTCTTCCTCAAATGTTTTCTTTATTGAGTGGAAATATTTGATTTCCAGATGTAATTTGATCAATCAGAACTAGTTCTGCAATAAACAGTACAAGTACTAAACTACTTTTGGACTAGTGGATTTTGATGAGAAGTAACAATAGTTTCAAACTTATTGCGAGGCACTGTATCTAGCGGCTAGCGGCAGCTAATATATGTGTGTGAGGACTTGCACGACAAAAGAGCTCAATCACCACCAGCGCGCCACCTCCAATAATTGTTGTGGGAGGATAACATTGTTGTTCTTACTAAACTAAACTACATGAGAGCAACACAATATGTTGGGGGGCATGTGATAGAGTAGCTGTAGTACTCACTAACACCCCTCTGTGCTATGATGCTGCCAAAGCTCTGCTGCTCAGAGCTCTCTCTCATTCAATTCTTCTAAAAATACAATAATAATTAATTACAAGAATTGAACTCTGATTTTCTCTTTGAAAATAGATATCTGTATAGTAATAACTGTAAAAAATAGAATAACACAAGTAAAATCTGTAATCTTCTGTATCATTATTATCTTAATCTCTTTTTATCAATTTTCATTAAATCAATTCTCTTAATAAATTCTTTGAAGACAGATCTTATCAATGATTTGATTAGACTGTCAGCTATATTGACTATAGAATTAATATATTTTATTATAATTTTATCTTTTTCAATCAAGTTATAAAAAATATGATATCTGATCTCAATATAATATAATTTTTTTATTAAAAACTTTTCTTTTATTAAATCTATTATATTCTTATTGTCAACTTATAGATATGAGTATATTTTTACTTTTTTCTCTATTAATTCAGTATTATATAATATATTATTCAATCAAATTATTTTGTATATTATTTTATTTACTGTGATATACTTTATTTTAATGATTGATTTTGCAACTGAGATCTGCTGTTGTAATTACTATAAAATTAATAATTCATTCAGTAGAATAATATAATCTATAGTTGATTTGTATTAAAAATCTGTTTCTATTCAATCTAAATTGCTGTAGACTATAGAACTAAACTTCTCAATTGTTTTCTTTTTATACAGAATTTTATAGTTTTTTATTTTTTTAATATAATATAGAATATACTTTAATACTGATCAGTATTTTTTGTATAGATATAAATTAAAATATAAAAAATAATTAACTATAAATATTAGATCTGATCTGCTGCTTGATATTAAATACTACAGTAATTTTAAGTTTTAATAATATCTAATAACAGTAAAATTATCATCTAATTCACTATCTTTATCTGATAAGAATTCTAGATATATATCAGCTGTTATTAATATACTGATTAAATTAATTTTGTTTATTTTAAAATTCTTAAAAATTTTATTGATATAACAGTTCTGAGTAACTGCTAGATTGCTGTTTATTTAATATTTAACTTTTATTTTAAAATAGAGTTTATTCTCTTCAATATTTTTTATTTTAAATCTTTTTATAATCTCTGTCAATATTCAGTTTAATTGCTATTTTTGAGATTTTATTACTTAACAGTCATCAATATATAATATCAGATAGATTTTATAAATAAAGTAATATAAAAATCTATCATTATACAGTAAGATTTTAAATTCTAAAGTGATAAGATATTTTATTATAAAAAAATATTATATTTTTATTATTTATTTCATTCTGTAAAGACTCTGATGAAGCAGATTAACTAGACTCTCTCTGCTGTATTTAATTTCTATAAATAGTTATATATATATCATTTTATACTGCAGTAGTATACTATTCAAGAATACAGAGATATAATTAATTATCTTTATCTTTCATCTTTTTATTATTGAGATTGTGAATAAACTTTATAATATAAATTCTGATATCACTGTGATGTATAACTTTATATAGTAAACTTTTTATTATTGAAGAAATTCTCTAATTACTCAGCAAGCTCTGAACTGAATTATTTCTCTTTTATTATTTAATTTATAATTAAATATTCACTTATCAGTTAAAATATTCATATCTGAGATCTTCTCAACAATAATATATATCTACTTATTCTTAAATATACTGATTTTTTTTTCATTATTTTATATCAGTAGTTTCAATCAGAGTTTTTTTTAACTTCTATTATAATAGTTGAGTGATCAGTTAGAGTACTCAGAATAGAATTATTTTTATTAACAGAGTTTTCTAATTTATCATTCTCAATAAATTCTGTTTTATTATCTAAAAAATATATTAAATCTATTATATTTTTAAAATTATCATTGATAATTATTTTTAAAACATCAGATTTCATTTTTATTAGATGTTGTAGAAGACAGTATTGTTATTTATTAATAATATCTAATATATTTAATTCTTCTAATAATTTACTCAATTACTTTATTATATTTATAGATATAATTTCATTTTTATCTAGTTTTTTATTAAATATAATATTTTATACAATCTCAAGACAACAGTTGATTGAGTTTCAGATATAATATTAATACAGTTTTTAATAATCAACTAACTGTTATTTCTTATCATCAGTTCTATTTATAAATTTATTGATAATTTTTAGATTTTTTTTATAAATCTTATACTCTCATCTATATATTCAGTGAATAGTAGATTATATCTCAGTTCAAGCTTTAAATAATATAAATAGAGTTTCTTACTTATATCTGTAAATCTTAGTTGATATTGAAAATATATTGATTATTATAATTGTAGCTTGTATTATCTTTTTCTACAATTCTCTAACTAGTTTACTATCAATAAACTGATCACTGAAACTATAAATTACACATTTGATTTGATTTAATTTGATCTCAGTTCATTTCTTGACATGATTTTAATAAAATTAGAATTAGAATGAAAGTGTAAAGTGACTAGAATTATTAAAATATGAGTGAAATAAGACTAAAAAATCTTGATATTTTATATAAAGTGACTAACTATTAAAATCAGAACATGATCTGAGACTGATTATAATTTTAACTCAAGTTTAATTCCATTCTGATGATTATATAATACATCAATCTGATGATATAATTGATGAAGATATTATTTCTATTTTACTTAATACTGCTGTTAATCTATTCACTGCTGTCAATCTACTCATTACTATCAATCTATCTATCACTGCTAATCTATTGCTGCTAATCTATCACTGCTAATCTATTGCTGCTAATCTATTGCTGCTAATCTATCACTGCTAATCTATCACTGTTAATCTATCTACCACTGCTAATCTATTCACTGCTGTCAATCTACTCACTGTCATTAATCTATCTATCACTATTAATCTATCTACTACTGTCAATCTATCTATCACTGCTAATCTATTGCTGTTAATCTATCACTGCTAATCTATTACTATTAATCTATATAGAGTAAATCATAATTCTATTTGATCTTATTTTATAAAATAAGATTAAATGAAATCAGAGTCATTAATTTATTAGTAAAATATAATCTGAAACTAGATTTATAATATAAATAATGTAAAATAACTAATTTATTAAATACTATATAGAATCAGAACTAAGATATCTAATAATAAAATTGAGGAAAAATTTGATCTCAGTTTTATATATGATTACACAGTCAGTCTAATTATTAAATAGAAAACTTTTTATTTTTTCTGTAATAATTTTATTAATATATTCAGCAGAGCTGTTTGATTGCAGTATATTAGATATAGTTATTTTATATACAATTTCTCTGCTCTAATAGTAGATCTTTAGATTTTAATCTTTAAACTCACTATTATTATTTCAGTATAGAGTCTCTATACAGTATTATATAATTGTCTTAATATTTATAATGAAATTCATTAATCTTGCAGTAGACTTATCTTTTAATATTATTAAGATTATTCATTAATATTTTATAATATTATCTGTATCTTTAATCAGTAGCTAGTATTCTCTCTAGTGAATAGATTATTTCTGTTAAAAAGCATTTTTTCATTCTCTGCTAGATTAATGAAGAATCTCATTGCAGATTTGATAGCTTATATTATAAATACAAAAATTGAATATATTATTTTTATTTAAATATAGACTTTATAAAATAATAAAATTTATTAACTGATAATTTTTATTTTTAGATATGAATCTGCTGTCATTCTGAAGATATCTGTAGAATTCAGATACTTTAATTTTTGATACTACTATATCATTATTAATTCTACAATTTTTATATTATTATTAAATAGTATCAGTATTATATCAGTAGTTCTGTTATCTATTATTATATTGACAGACTTGAATTTACTGTTGAATAAAGTGAATTGAATTAGATTCTTATAGATAGATAGCTTCTTTATCTTATAAATATTATTATTATTCAATTTTACTGTAAAGAAGAATGTTTTATCTGAGAATATAAAAAACACAGTGTGGTTGCTATTATATATCAATTGCTTGAAGATAAAGCTCTGATATATAAGCTTATTCATACTTATCAGATTTATTTCTAATTTCAGAATATAATAAATATCAGTTAGTAGTATATTCATCTTTTCAATAGTAATCTTTATATTGTCTATTGCTGCAGTAGATACTATTATTTCATCTATTATTTTCAGTTTAACAGTATACTTTTGAGACTTTGCTACAATAAAATTCTTATAAGATGTTGTATAAATATCTGCACTCAAGTCTAGACTGACTGTGTGACTATATATAGAACTGAGATTAAATTTTTCCTCAATCTTATTATTAGATATCTTAGTTCTAATTTTATATAGTGTTTAGTAAATTAATTATTTTACACTGTTTATATTATAAATCTAGTCTCAAATTATATTTTACTAATAAATTAATGATTCTAGTCTCATTTAATCTCATTTTATAAAATGAAATCAAATGAAATTATAATTTACTCTATATAGATTGACAGTAATAGATAGATTAACAGTAGTAGATAAATTGACAATGATAGATAGATTGATAGCAATAGATTAATAGTGATAGATTAGCAGTGATAGATTAGCAGTGATAGATTAGCAGTGATAGATTAGCAGCAATAGATTAGCAGTGATAGATAGATTAATAGTAGTAGATAGATTGACAGTGATAGATAGATTGACAGTGGTAGATAGATTGACAGTGATAGATTAGTAGTAATAGATTAGCAGTGATAGATTAGCAGTGATAGATTAGCAGTGATAGATTAGCAGTAATAGATAAATTGACAGCAGTAGATAGATTGACAGCAGTAGATAGATTGATAGTAGTAGATAAATTAACAGCAATAAATTAGCAGTGATAGATTAGCAGTAATAGATTAGTAGTAATAGATTAGCAGTGATAGATTAGCAGTAATAGATAGATTGACAGCAGTAAATAGATTAACAGTAATAAGTAGATTAATAGCAGCACTAAATAAAATAGAGATAATATCTTCATTAATTATATTATTAGATTGATATATTATATAATCATCAAAATAAAATTAAACTTGAGTTAAAATTATAATCAGTTTCAGATTATATTCTGATTTTGATAATCAGTTATTTTATATAAAATATCAAGATTTTTTAGTCTTATTTTATTTATATTTTGATAATTCTAGTCATTTTACACTTTTATTCTGATTCTAATTCTACTAAAATCATATTAAGAAATAAACTGAAATCAAATTAAATTAAATTAAATATATAATTTATGATTTCAGTGATCAGTCTACTTAAGTCTAGAATTCAGATATCTTTTATAAATTTTTAACTACTTATATAGATTTTATTTATTATACAGAATATTTATTTCATAATATTATAAACAGAAATAATATCAGTATTGATATTACTTTTATTTTTATTTTTATTAATATTATTAAAATTAAAGAGATATTTCTCTGAATATTTCTTTCAGTAATTATTTTGAATATAATCAGTTTTCTGACAGTGAAAGTAGATTTATATTTCACTATTTTTTTTATCAGATTTAAAATTCTTCTTTTTATTTTTATTTTTATTTTTATTTTTTTTATTTTTTTTATTAAATTTGAAGTTCTATATATTATTGATAGAGTTTCTAGATATATCAGTATTTAATTCATCAATTATTGAAAGTTATAAAAAAATATTATAATAAAGAATTATAAAATCATAGACTGGCTGCTGAGACCATGAATTACACATTTGATTTAATTTGATTTGATCTCAGTCCATTTCTTGACATGATTTTAGTGAAATCAGAATCAGAATAAGAGTATAAAGTGACTAGAATTATCAAAACATGAGTGAAATGGGACTAAAAAATCTTGATATTCCATGTAAAGTGACTGACTATCAAAATCAGAACATGATCTGGGACTGATCATGATTTTGACTCAAGTTTGGTCCCATTCTGATGATTATATAATACATCAATCTGATGATATGATTGGTGGAGATATTACCCCTATCTTGCTTAGTGCTGCTGCCAACCTACCCACCGCTGCCAATCTACCCACCGCCGCCAACCTACCTACCACTGCCAATCTACCTACCACTGCCAACCTATCTATCACTGCTAATCTATCGCTGCTAATCTATCGCTGCTAATCTATCGCTGCTAATCTATCACTGCTAATCTATCGCTGCCAACCTACCTACCACTGCCAACCTACCTACCGCTGCCAATCTACCTACCACTGCCAACCTATCTATCACTGCTAATCTATCACTGCTAATCTATCACTGCTAATCTATCGCTGCTAATCTATCGCTGCTAATCTATCGCTGCTAATCTATCGCTGCTAATCTATCGCCGCCAACCTACCTACCGCTGCCAACCTACCCACCGCTGCCAACCTATCTATCACTGCTAATCTATCGCTGCTAATCTATCGCTGCTAATCTATCACTGCTAATCTATCGCTGCTAATCTATCGCTGCTAATCTATCGCCGCCAACCTACCTACCGCTGCCAATCTACCTACCGCTGCCAACCTATCTATCACTGCTAATCTATCGCTGCTAATCTATCGCTGCTAATCTATCACTGCTAATCTATCGCTGCTAATCTATCGCTGCTAATCTATCGCCGCCAACCTACCTACCGCTGCCAATCTACCTACCGCTGCCAACCTATCTATCACTGCTAATCTATCGCTGCTAATCTATTGCTGCTAATCTATCACTGCTAATCTATTGCTGCTAATCTATTGCTGCTAATCTATCACTGCTAATCTATCGCTGCTAATCTATCGCTGCTAATCTATCGCCGCCAACCTACCTACCGCTGCCAATCTACCTACTGCTGCCAACCTATCTATCACTGCTAATCTATCGCTGCTAATCTATCGCTGCTAATCTATCACTGCTAATCTATTGCTGCTAATCTATCGCTGCTAATCTATCGCCGCCAACCTACCTACCGCTGCCAACCTACCTACTGCTGCCAACCTATCTATTGCTGCCAACCTATATAGGGTAAATCATGGTCCCATTTGGTCCCATTTTGTAAAATGGGACCAAATGGGACCAGGATCACTAATTTATTACTAAAACATGATCTGGGACTAGATTTATAATATAAACAGTGTAAAGTGACTAATTTACTAAACACTATATGGGACCAGGACTAAGATATCTAATAATGGGACTGAGGAAAAATTTGGTCCCAGTCCCATGCATGGTCACACAGCCAGTCTATAAAATCATTCTCTAAAAGTTGAATATTATTCTTTTTAATCTGATTTATATAATTTTTAATAAATAAGGTTCATTCTTTACTTACTTCAGTAAATAAACAGTCAAAAAATATAAAATCTTTGATTCTATATTCTAGACAGATATAATCAGTTTTTATAATAATTAAATATTCAATAAATATATAATTAGAGTTTTTTGACTTAACTATTATATTTATTATTTTTTTATATAATCTTATTCTTAGAACAGCAGATCTTTCAGTGAAATTATTCTTTATAATAGATTATAGAGAATATATAAATAATTTATAATTTTTAAATATAGTAAAATAAGATTTTATCTGTAGAGCAACTGATGATTATATATAGTTGTATAATTATATATTATATTCTTTTCAAAATTACTGTATATCAGTGCTAATATTATTATTAGAGTTAGTTTACTTTTTATCAAGAATATCATCAGTTTCAGATTGTCTCACTGTAAGAAGAATCTTTTTTTTTATATAAAGTAATTCTTAGATTCAGTCAGTATAACTGATTTTCTTATAAATCTCATTTAATTATAGAATTTATTAAAAATTTTTATAATAACAGATATTCTATTTTTTCTCTGTAGATAGTTTATTAGATCTATATTAATATTTTTATTATTTATAAAGATCTGATTTCTATCAGTTTTTATTTATTGAACTTTATATTAAAGTCTTGCAATCTTCAGTTTTATACAAGTTTCTTTATTTATATTATAATTACTAGAGTTATTCATATTGTCTGATATTTTATTGTTATTAACTGAGTCTTTATATTTAATATTTGACTTATTTAATTCTTCTTCAATTATATTATCAGATTCAAATATTCTCAGAATAGTTATTTTATTAATTGCAGATATTGATAAATCTGTATTTAATTTCTATTATATTTCAGATATTTGAGGATTTCTTCTTCTATATATTATTATATATTCTTTCATCAAATCAGGCATTTCATTCAATCTCAAATTAATTATAGAGTTTAAATTATCTAGATATACTTTTAATAATGTATGAAGATATAGTTAGTACATTATTTCAGCAGTTCTGTTGCTTCTTAGAGTCATAATCTGTGGGAGGATAATGTTGTTGTTCTTACTAAACTAAACTATATGAGAGCAACACAATATGTTGGGGGGCATGTGATAGGGTAGCTGTAGTACCCACTAACAATCGTTTCTGTCAGGTGACCTAGAGGCTCTTGAGACGACGCACATGGACTGCGTCAACCCCGGGATCATTTCCACTCCCTGGCGCGTCGTTGGCACATATGAAGACTCCTTTGAGTACACTCGACCACCACCTTCTGAAGAGAAAATGAACGGTGATGTGCTGTCATCTCGAAGTCACTCAGAGGGTCTGCCATCCAGCCAATACAACAAGCAACGCAGTCTATTGACCATAGGTCCATGATCCCCATTCAGTTTTGGCTTAATGACAAACCAACAAAATAAACAATCAAATCCAGACATATTTTCCTCCCCCAAAAAACTGATTTCAAACCTTGACTCATCTAACATACTCATCACCTGGCTGAAAAGTTTGGTGAGTGAGAGTCTTTCAGCCCCTCATGAGTCTACATTTCGCTTGCCACTCAATTGTTTGTTTGACTTTTAGATCACCTATCTACTCATGCGACGGGCAGCAACATTTCTGAAAGCCTGAGGCAGCATCACTCCATGTTAGTTCAATCTATAAAGCTAATCATTCTTCCCTCTAAAACATCTCGAATACTCTCTTTCAAGACGATCCAGCCATTACCCACCAACTACCCTGGAAATTCATACTCCCAAAGGAGTCCCCCCTTTTTTAACACCCTCCCTAGCATTGAAGATCTGTTCACTTCCAGCATTCTTCAATAAAATCCCTATCCATATCCTTTCCCAATTGTCTCCCAGCTGATTCCTACAAGGGCGCTATCGACAACATTACCACCAAAGGAGGCCCTAATGGTGTCAGCAACCTTGCTGAGAATGCAAAATTATTCAAGGTGGAAAAGACCTCCTTGAAAGGTGTCACTGAACATGTGGCTCACGCGAGCACTAAACAACTTGGGAAAACTGGAGTTCACACCTTATATGCTGTTATCCATGTTCTAATATCTATTTTGAGTCTGGTATACTAGGTGTCTTGAAGGGGCTCTTTCCATAGCACAGCAACCATCACCACAACCGGCGAGAAACTGCCAAACAAGTGTCATTGCACAGTTTCAATGTCTCCAGGTCATGCCAAGGTCCATATTTACATTGATCTCACTAATAAGACAGCGTTCGACGACATGAAAGTACTAGAAAAGAGCATAGTTCAGCACAGCAAATCTACCCCAGACCTAACACTGTCCTCAGGCGCCTACCTTTCTACGTGACAGCCATGGCAGCATTGCTCACAACTGATGGCGATACCCTGTTACTGGGTGCTTGAATGCAGGGGGGAAGTGAAGGGGCTAAGAATTGTTTACTGGAGTGATAGAGTGTAGCTTGTAATTGTTTAAAGATGAGTTTGTTGATATTAATGTAAATTGATATATACTGTTGATGAGTTCTACAGCTAGCTACTCTTAAGTTCAAATGCCAGCACTACTGCTGAGGATGGGACAATGTTGAATCCCCCATATCCTTGAGTATTTGGTCCAATCAAGTGATAGCTCTACTAGACCTTTGCTGGTATTGAACCACCCATATCTGTTCACCAAACTACTGCTCCAGCCCCAATGGTATTAGAAGAAGACTGCGCATACCAATCCAATGGAACCCAGGTCAATCTATACCGTCATATCTGCCAGCTTTAAGTGTGGCTGATGAGATGCCCCTTCCACGCTGCAGCTTCCACATTCAGGTCAAACGTGTTCGAGGGCTATATTTTACCAGTTAGAATGCGGTTGTGAGAAGATAAAGAAACAGTTCAATCGTATTTCAGTATGACTGATTGTATGCATCACGGAGCTATGACACTCCCTGGTCAAACCTTCAATTTAATGACATTATATTATTACATTCGAGGGCTACTGGCAATTGCCGAAATAAAACTACTGGAAAATGCACCTACGCAACAGGAACACCGAGGATCGTCAATATTTTTTAATACTAGTATAACAGAGTTCAATTGTGATAAAAAATGAAAAGAAGATTACGATTTATTTGTGATTTATACTTGGCAATCAAATAAAACCCTTCGCTATTCAATATTTAAACAGAAAACAATAAACGAAAAACAACAAGATAGAGGGGAAGATTCATGGGACTGTGTACTGTAATGTACTGCCATCTGGTATTATAACAGGTTTACCATACGGAGTACGGAGTACTTGGGTATAAATTTCGAACAACATATTACTTTGTTACGCTGGATGATATTTGTCATCATTCGTCCTGGCGGCTTATCATCAATACTAGCGACGATCATCATCACCACCACCACCGCTCATCACGTCGAACATTAACAATGAAGGAAACTCCTTTGCTACCCCTTCCAACAGATGCCGCATACCTACTTCTTCTATGAATACAATCACAGCATGCTTTCAATAACTCAACCGACGATAACACCATTCTCTGTTGTTTGATCAGATAACAGCCGCCCTTCGAGACGCCTTGCCTTGCACTTTGATGACAAGCTCCTCTGGTGCAATAAAAGCGCCATAGTTTGGTTGGATGGCATTTCCCCCATATTTTGCTAACGATGGGAAATATAAGCAGTAGGCCAGATGAGCCTGGGTCTCTCTATCTCAAGGACCAGACCAAGCGTACGTCTCAACCTTATCCTGTGTATGTTCCTTGCTGGTTGGTGTTGACTCTTCTCTCGAATCTCCCACCACAGTAGCCATTGCATCTGTCATCGTCACCAACTCTCGTGGAAATCTTCTCCTGACCATTGCGCCAAATCAATTCCCCTCGACGAGGATAATACCTAGGAGGGAATCGGGGGACGATAGACCCATAGAGTACATCCAGGTCAGTCTAACCCCTCCTAATCCCCATTTCTTCCTCGCTTCTATTGCCCCGATGAAAAAAAAAGAAAGAAAGAAAGAAAGAAAGGGAAAAAATCGCTAATACAGGCCGGCTATTGTAGGACCCAGAGTCTCCATCTACTGGATTACCCTCCTTTCTTCTAAAACTGTGTAATGATGATGAGTTAAATTTTCGCTTCACTTTTTTCCTTCGCCAGGGACAGACCAAGCAACCCGCACCTTTGACCACCAACGGCGTGGCGACTTGTCTTCCCGAGGCAATTGATACGGTTCTCACCGGTCTTACATTCGCTCACGCATCCAATCCGAGAGATCTGGATAACCTGGTAACGCGAGAATTCCATGCCAACCCGAATTTACAAAATAACTCCAATGTAAAACACGTTGGGAATTTCTCGACTTCGGGGAGCCCGTCAATCCAATTTGACTGGTCGTGGAAATGGAAGCCTCCTAGACAAGCGGAAGATAGATGTGGCGGTTGGCGCAACTGCTGTAGCTTTCTTGACTACGATCAAAGAACAAATCGTCTCAACACGCTTGCAACATTTTCTTTCTGGGTTCAGAATATGTCTCGGCCTTCGTCAAGCCCTCAAATTCCTTCGCCCCGATTCGACCTGACTGTACCCCCTCGCCATCGGGTGCCTTCCTCTCAATCCGTCCAATCTCGAATAAGCGACACTGAAGCTATCAATGATCTCCTACCCCCTCCAACCCCCCCTGAGTTTGGGGATAACCTTCCGACCCCACATCCTCTGCCAGCCCAGAGCTCTGTAAAGTTAGACGTGACATGTCAGCGGCCAGGGGAGGATATGAGCGCAGTTGAAGATGGGCCTCTATTCCGTGCTACAATGAAGGCCTTGGAACAAAAAACAGGCAATATGCGGGCCAAGATGAAAAAGGTTTTAAAAAAAGCTGAGGCTGCGCATCAAGCCCAGATCGCCTGTAACGACGCTGTTAGCGCCTTTATCACGGCCCTCAATGATGCGTCTCTGTCTAACGCGAATGCCATTCAGCCTGCATTAGAGCATTACTTTGACCGAATCGCCCGAGAAATTCTGAATTACGAGCAACAGAATACCGTACACCTCCAAAAACTCATCATCGACCCTCTCTCTAAGTTATATAACCATGACATCAAACAAGCAGAATCAAAGAAAAAGGACTTCGAAGAAGAGAGTAGAGATTATTATGCCTACGTGGGACGGTATCTTGGCCAGCGGCAAGATTCCCTGAAAGAAAAAAAACGGGCCGAAAGCGATTCAAAATACCAAACAAAAAGAAGGAATTTTGAGTTAAAACGTTTCGACTACTCATCATTCATGCAGGACCTTCATGGTGGACGGAAAGAACAGGAAGTATTATCCCACCTGACAAAGTATGCTGATACACAAGCAAAGAGTTATTTGGCTGCAGCGAAGAAGATTGAGGAGATGATCCCACAACTGCAGGCGCTTATAGATGAAGTATCCGAAGCCGATAAAGAATTCCAGTTTCAGCGTACGGAGAGGGAAGAGAAACGAAGGGCCCTAGAGACGAGCACAAAGAAGTATATCGAACCGGGATCCGTACCGACCTCTGGTGTTACCGCTCTGGCACCGGGGAATTCCAACTTTTCTCATCAATCCGACTCCGAACTTGGTCGAGCAGATAGTACAGGCTCACAGCTAAAGGCAGTCGCTACTAACAATTCAGCGCATTCTTCGTCCTTAAATCCTCCTATTCATATTGAGCCGCCCACAGGATCATTATCTGCACTATCAGGATCAAATCGATTCAAAGGCATTCGGGACTTAGAGGATCGCGATTCTTCCAGTCCGATGCACGATATGCAAGAAGCTCAACATCGAAAGGAGGGGCTTTTGTGGGCGTTATCCCGCCCAGGCTCTCACATGGATCCCAAAGGGATTAACAAACAAGCTTGGCATAAGTAAGATTATCATGTTAACCCACAATTACCCGTCGAACCCCAGTTATTTTGTACAATTTCGGTGTTGATTGGACACCAAAGCTTTGTTTCATAATATGTAAAACGATAACTAATTGCCATGTGGCAGGTTTTGGATCGTCCTTGACCAAGGGAAACTTTCAGAGTACAGCAATTGGAAACAAAAGCTGGACTTGCACATGGAGCCAATCGATCTACGGATGGCATCCGTTCGGGAAGCGCGTAATGCCGAAAGAAGATTCTGCTTTGAGGTTATAACTCCCCAGTACAAGAGAATATATCAGGCGACGTCAGAGGAGGACATGAACGCCTGGATTATTGCTATCAACAACGCATTGCAAAGCGCTGTGGAAGGCAGAAGCCTTCCACCTGTTACTCTTCAACAGCCAATAACTGATGGAGCCATTCGTCGCGGTATTGGCTCCGTTCTGGCCGGGAAAGGGTCCCACTCCTCTCAGCAGGCACACTATAATCCTCCTGTTTCCGGCGTGAATCGTCGAACCACAGTTGGCGCCCGACCCTGTTACGTTCGGGGCGATAACAATAATTACGAGGAGAACCCGTCGAAACTTTTACAAACAGTCCGTGACGCTGACCAAGGCAATTGTTGGTGTGCGGATTGCGGGTCGCTGTCTAAAGTTGAATGGGTGTCAATCAATCTTGGGATAGTTCTCTGTATTGAATGCAGTGGGATTCATCGGTCATTGGGCACCCATATCTCAAAAATCCGCTCACTTACCCTTGACATTCATTCATTTTCCAATGACATTGTCGAGATACTCCTACAAGTTGGAAATCGCGTTAGCAATATGGTTTGGGAATCTCGACTGGATCCCTCACTCAAGCCTACCGCTCAATCAACTAGAGAACAACGTTTAAAGTTCATTACGGCAAAGTATAGTGAAAGAGCGTATCTTCAGCCTTTATCCGCTACCCTCTCGCGTTACGCTACGGCGGAAGAAACACTTCTGGCTTCTATCAAAAGAAATGACATACAAGGTGTGTTATATGGAATCGCCCTTCGCGCCAATCTCAATGTCACCGACCGGTCTCGGGGTACCCATGCAGTGTTCCTGGCGCTTGCAGCTGCGGATCCTGCCTTTCCCGCTTCGTCAGGGCAGGCAACAGCCATTCCTTCGAGATCCGCTGCGGTACCGCCTTCAGCTGAAAAACATATACCATTTCCCATTGCGGAATTGCTTGTACAAAATGGAGCAGAGATTCCATCTGAAATGCCATCCATCCCTTTATCACCCGCAGCTCAGCTATATATAAACCAAAGGACAGCGAAAATAAGCGGAAGCTTTATTGTCCAACCAAGAGCGCTTGCTTCGTCAATGGGGGATCCAGGAACTGACATAACTTGCGCTCTGCCCTTGATTCACAATAGTGGCAAGCTCTCGTCCAACGGAGAGAACATTTCAACGACGTCACCTGCTTCCCACCCACTTACCGGCCTCGATAACAAGGAGAGAGAGAGGTTGCAGAAGCGAGGCAGTGCTGGAGCTCGATTTGCAGGAAAGGTGGCCTCATTGGGATCCGATCGATAGGCCCCGCAAATTCCATTTCCAGCTATTGATTGATTCCCGCCGTTGGTTGTCAGGGTTCCACTTAGTTTCTCCGCTTGATGATGGAGATTGGAGTCTAGCAGGTGTTCTTTCAACGCGACTAAGCCAGTGTTGTTTCTTCGTTGTATGGGGAATTCGGAGGTGTGAAACCGTTCTTAAAGAGGAATAACAGTTAGGGGATGTATATATATATATATGTCTATATATACCTCAGGGGGCGGGCAACTGCGTCAAGAAGGCAACTGTTACTCTACTCGCTTTCCTTTTTCCCGTTTCTTTCTTGGCATTTTGCAACCTAATTCCCCAAATGTTCCAATTCAATTTCTTGCTAAGGCAATTCCACTTAGTATTGTCGAATAATGCCTCATTGTTACTCTACATTTTTATTTTTTTCTGGGATTGCCGAGATATTTTGGATTATTTTCTATACCTCACTTTTCTACTTGGTCGGAAGTTTCCCTTTTGCATGTTTGATTTTGCATGATACCTCGATGATACTTAATGATAATATGATATGATTATGGCAATGTGGACTTTGGTAGAAGTGTTGTTCTTTGGCGTTTGGTGCATAAAACAGGTAGGGCGTCTGGTTACCCTCTGTCCATGCCTGTTTGGCAGCAGAAAATTTTGACCAGAGGCAGGGGTTTAAGCCCTGAATCCACATGGCCGTGTCATGTTGTACTGTGCATTCAATCCAGAAGAGTAGGTATTTCATCCCTGCCGCCTACACAGCGCCTGTCCAAGCTCCTGACCGCGATATTGTACATGTACTTTACATGCCTCTTACAAGCTGCAGGACCCGATATACGGTGTGGATGATTCCACAATTCTCCCCGTCCATGTTACAGAGGTTTGGACGTCCAGCGAGCCAGCGCTTTGCTCCGCTGTCCTCGAGTGAACTTCTGTGTAGAGAGTATGCCAGGGTCATATGTAAGTTAGAGGCGGACTTGCGGGTAGCGTCTTGTCCTGCAGGCAGAACCAAGATTGACCTACCAGTCAGCTCGCAGATGATCCTTTTGCCACTCACCAGCCACCAGCCATCCCGTGTGCATAAACTTGGATTTCTCTTGGTTCCCTGCTACTTGCCTCCTTGCGCCTGGCTTCGAAAATAAGAATCATAACAGGGGATGTTGCGAACTGGATTCCCTCGCCACTCTCCCGGCACGATTAGCATCGTCCCTTTTGCTCCACATTGCCAGCACTGGAATCATTCCCACTGGAAAAAGCGCCAATAGAGCATTTACCGTACATGTACAGAGAACAGTGCATTATGATTGCATATATTGTCAAGCAGGGTTCGAGCAAGACCCGTTTCAATTCACGGATCCTTCCGAATGTTGCGCAGGGCTATCCTCAGCGGGGAGCAAAAGTCAACAATAATGATAATTTTACGAGTCGACGAGCCTTCGCATGGGTGATTGCAAATTATCCATCCAGAGCTCCAGCTCTGCAGGGTCTAGGCAAGTCAGTGACGCTGCTCATTATGGCCAACGCTCCTTTTTGATCCAAGTTCTCCTGCCAAATGTTGGGTGGCCAGATCCTTATATCTGTGGCTTTTCTCCTACATAATCGCTTTGGGGGCAAACAGCCTTTGGTTTCTATCCTTCTTCTACGCATGGTCCCCTCTCCTTAAGCTTTCTCTTCTTGCCTCTTACTCTCAGTCCACTATCTTGTCACAATCCCCGTCATTTTACGAGGGCCATTCGGCTATCTCAATATCTCTGGTCCCTTGCAATAACGCATTTCCGCTAGAGCTTTCAACTTTTGGGCCATCTTCAGAGGCAGACAAAAAATAATTGCCCCTTTCCCCTCACAACTTTGTGTACATTTGTACCTCGTCCATAAAACCAGGCATATTTTCGGCAGAAGAGCGGTCCCAGAAGCAGACGTCCGAGGGCTTTGGATGCGCCAAGTAAGTGAGTTAATAATGGGTAACTATCCGTCGACGTTCCTCAGAGCTTATCCAAGCGAGAGACCAACCGACTGGAGTTTCTGTTGACGAAAACCGTTTTATTCCACCAGGGCCATAGGGATGCCGCAACCTTCCACTGTTCAGAGTGGAGCGGACAGCGAACGACCTCCTCCCGGGTATATTGCAGTTGGGATGCCGACATCTAACATTGTCCGTTTACCTGTTCAGCACCCTTACTATCATATACAACCAGCATTTACACAATTTTCCGTGCCGTTTCATATTCCAGGACATCCGCATATCCGGCACGATACGTGGAATTGTCGCCGATATGATTCAACTTTCAATTATCCCACAATGCCTGGCACCTTAGCTAACGAAACACAATCCTCTACGCAAGCCGTTTTATATCACACCACTTTACCCTCGATTCCCCAGCCAACATACTATGGAGCACTCTTTCATCAAATGCCAAAATTGCAGCATTTCCCGCCGCAACCTATGGCCTATGACAACCAACAAGGCCCAATTCGCGTGCACGTACGGAATAACAGCAATATAGAGACTTCCAGCTACTCCCGTATTACGCATGAACAGCCGTACCGCACGCTTCCGTCGAGGCCGACAGAATCGTCGACCTCATGTTATACTATTGTCGATGGCTCGGGGCTAACCAATCGTTCTGGAAATGCCCTCGAGACACGTGGAAACGGAGCAGGTCAGTTATGTATCCTGTTTTAATTTATTTGCAGTTTACAGGAATGTGGTTGAAATATCAATCTCACGGTTGAGTGTTGCTTATATTCGATACCCAGGGGCCAATGCACATGTACAACCACCCGTTTTCCTCCCCGAGCCACCAACTCCCAGAGGGCCACCGAGGAAGCCAAAGCAATCCGGGTTCGCATTATGGGTGGGAAATCTCCCATCTCGTGCCAACATTGTTGATCTCAAGGACCATTTTTCTCAGGGTGCTACTAAAGAAATCGAAAGCGTATTTCTGATCTCAAACAGCAAATGTGCATTTGTGAATTATAGGACAGAAGCAGCCTGCGTCTCAGCAGTGGCAAGATTCCATGATTCAAGGTTCCAGGGCATTAAATTGGTTTGCAGGATGCGTAGGGGCACTTCCGAGCTTAAAAATAGAGTAACATTATCACCACCACTTCCGGCGGCTTCAGGTACTACTGATGATAGCAATGAGATTGATGACTCACATGCTGAACTTGTTCCGAACAATTCCTCCAAGGATAGCAGTTTCCAACGCCCAGCTGTGAAGTATTGTGAACGATATTTTATAGTGAAAAGCCTGACTATTGAAGATCTTGAACGCAGCAGGGTGAGTGGGGTGTGGGCCACACAGAGACATAACGAGGCATTTCTGAACCATGCGTATGAGGTGGGAAAACTACTCTACTATCCATATGGAATGAATTGCCACTGCGAAAGCAGTCGGATGCGAATGAGAGTCATGAATATTGATATTTCCTGCAAACCAAAATGGTTGTTCCTGACTGACTTATTCTTTCATTTTCCTGGGAGCAGACTTCGGAGACTGTATATTTGATATTCTCCGCCAATAAATCTGGAGAATACTTTGGCTATGGCAAGATGGCCTCTCCCATCCCCACTGGCGAGCAAAGCATCTCCGACGGGACCCCTCAGAGAATCAGTTCCACGCCATCATCCGAATTTCTGATAGTCACGGCTACGCCGCGCACGGAAACGGCTCCAGCGGGCTCTGTGGTGGACGACCCAGCTCGGGGCACGATATTCTGGGAAATCGATCGCATTGACGAGGTAGGTTTGGGAAAGACGGGCGGGTCTGGACAGATAGAGGACGAAGGCACGGCGGACGACAGTCAGTCTTTTGGTAGGCCATTCAATGTGGATTGGTTGTGCTGGCGACGTCTCCCATTCCACCACACAAGAGGTCTCCGGAACCCTTGGAACGCGAATAAGGAGGTGAAAATCGCCAGAGATGGGACGGAGATCGAGCCAGGTGTGGGGAGAAGATTGATTAGACTATTCGACCTCATGGAGTGAAGGGGCGGAAGCGGTTACCTGCTATTATTTAAATTAGAGAGGGTTTGGAGACTCACGCAGCACCTAGCGACAATGGGAAACCTAGAAAGGTCAAGCATACATGGTTCTGTCTTTGATTTCGGGGCCGGAAGGCATTTTCAGGCGTTTCTCAAGGGGCGAATATATATATATATTGATATTGATAGTATTGCTATTCATGAGCGGAAACATAACAGTGCGCTACATACGATAGATGATATTCGAGAAATAGGATATGGCGCATGTCATATATGTATGTGTGTGTGGTATATGACTAAATTGGCAGTAGATGCGTTATGGACCTGGCGAGAGTCGAATTTTTATACTGTTCATATCTTGGAACATTCCAATTGAACGTACTCGAAATATATTCCAACGTAATTCCCGCAAGTATGTACATACATGCACATACAACACATTTCTACGACAGGGAGGGAGACGGTAGTGGCATCGCTCTGTAGAGAGCTCTGGATTGATTCTAATGGCGGTGATGCTGGATTGATCGGTCATCCAGCATCGATGGTGAAAGAAACATGATGTAGCATCCATCATGCTATCTCGTCCTGGAGATCAGCCAGCAAACATCGAGTTGCAAAGTGCAGCAGCACCTGCATCTATCCCGTATATATCATATCTCATATTTCATATAATAACTATAATAACTAGTGGTTATATGAAGGTGGATTTGCCTGTGTTCGAACACGTGTTCCTATGGTGTTCAGCCAAGGCCCCCGAATAACCCATACATGTTCCGTACGGTGAGCTACCTTCTTTGATCATATAAAAGAGGTAACTTTTCTGTAATATTACGTACAATGACTGTATCAGCTCCTCTCTGAATGTGTATTTAATAATTATCACCCCACTACTGTATTCTTCTCCCCCTGCTCTTGTATTGATTTCTATTCTTAATTATCCTTGTCCTTACCCATCTACTTTGAAACCCTTGCATCTTCATACAAGTGAGAAAGACTGATAATGACCTCTGCTGCTGATACTGCTGTTGAAGCAGCTGCTGCACAGAAGCAGCTACAGCATGATCTTATTATAGAGATGACAGCACAGAGAGAGAATGCACTGAGAATCAGCAGACAAAGCAGATCAAAGAATACACAGATAGCATACACAGGGAAGCAGAATGAATGGATGGTAATATATAGATTTATTTTATTTCTATTTCTTCTTTATTTCTGTGTATGAAGAGAGATGGAATTTGATAGACTAACTTCTCACTGCTGCTCAATCTCCACTATCTGTATGATAGAAATGATGTAATGAAAAGAAGTTTTCAGATGATCAGATTGTCTCTGAGCAGAAGACAATCTGGTTCTTTAGTGAGAGAGTTCTCAATCATCCACTCAGAGGGGGCCATCTCAAAAGAAAGTGTACAAATGCTGAGGGAGAAGAGATTGTGCAGACAATAGAAGAGGATCTGATCAAGCAGTATTGAGCAGCTCTTGTTGATCTGTATCATACACAGCAGAGCAGACAGAAGAACTCCCATCCTCACTCAATTGACCAGGCCTTGAATGGCATGTTAAAGACTCACAGATCTATGAAGCATGTACAGAGGCATACAGAGTTTGTGGACAGAGGTGCAGACACTCTGATGAACAGCTATACTGAGCTGAATATGGTGAACTTTGTACATCAGTGCTGAGAGAGGTGACAGAGGGATGGAAGGCATACAGTTGAGCCTCTTCTTCATACAGCAGCTGACTTTCTCATGAGTCACCATATACTGCTGAGAGAGCAGTTCAGACAAGAGATGCAGTTGGCTGATCTGTTTACAATTGAGCTGTTAAATGAGGGATCAACACCCTGCTGACCTCTTATTCAGATCATGAGTAATGACAAGACAAATCAGAACAACAGACTTGAATATTCAACTGTCATACAGTATAAGAATTATATTCTTTGTTCAATGTCACAGATTGTATTCTATCTGTTCTATAGATGAAATATTATACAGAAGCCTCTGCCTCAGTTCCACTACCATCAGCTCTGGTACAATATTCACTTACTCAAGAGTGGGGATCTGTATGAGCAGATCTTCTACAGAACTCATCTCAAGTGGACAAACAAGCTCTTTATGTACACAGACATGTCAGGGATGACAAAGAAGACTTATGCTGGACAATTCACAGATGCACAGAAGGCAGAGCTTAATGAAATGAATGAGAGCAGCATCCACAGAGCTGAGCAATGGAATAATGACTCTTTGACCAGCTGCTATCTCAGTCAGATCAATCAGAAGTTCATATAGAGGATTGCAGGATTCAATTCTAGCTTGCCAAATAATTACCATCTTCCACAAGCTACAGTCACCCCACCAGAGCTGTTGAAGAAATCCCTCTGACCATGAGTGGATGAATGGCTTATCTGGTTTCATTCTGAGAACAGATTCTCTTATATCACTCCTTCTGAGATCTCTGGTGTGAGTCTGAAGCTGCTTGATAGTGGAAGTTCATTTGACTCAGATGATCTTGCAGCTCAGGGGTTTTTGCGGCTGTTAGATTATCTTTGTATAATGATACTACAGGACTCTGCTCTTCTTCAGAGGGAATTTCCAACTCATCCACTGTGGATCAACTCAGTGTTTCAGCATGCAGAGTATGAGCAGTTTGCAGATGCTGTACAGGCTGCAGAGTCAGTTCCCATTCCTTCACAGAAGATGATGCTTCAACAGTCAGTGCCACAGATTTCTGAGAGCCTGAGCACCATACAGAGACAGATCAATGTGGTGGCAGATCAGATAAAGATCAGAGATGTACAAATGAAGGAGAAGGTTGATAGAATTCAGTGTGGAATTGATACAATAACAACTGGATTCTGGATCTTTCAGCCTGTCTCTGTTTCTGTCTGTGTACAGAAAGATACTGTTAAGATTCCCTCCATCTCTGCATCTGTATCTTCATCCTCCTTTTTATCAACTGCTGCTGCTGCTGTCACCACTTCTGCTACAGCATTGTCAACTGAGAATGATATTTGGACATATCAGCTCTCCCATACAATTCAATCAGTCAATGATCTCTGAAAGGAATGGGAACAGAGGTTGAATGGACAGCCCTCTGTGCAGCATCTGAAGTCATCATACAGGTCTAGCTGGAGAAAGAAGAATAGTGAGTGCATGTTCTTTTTCCAGCAGAAGGTGATCATTGATGAGATACTCAGTCACCACTATACAATGAAATCAAGATCTGTTCTAGAGATTGTGGAGGAGCTTGAGTTGATGCACATACAATTAAGAATGAGTCTGAACAAGCTCTCTGTCTTCCTCAGAAGAGCAAGAAGATAATCTGTGTATATTAACTATACTATATTGTATATCTTTTAACCTTGAGTATTTATTTATTTATGCATGCAGGCTGCCTCAGCAGAATTCACAAGGATGAGCATTCTCTCTTTCCCTTTTTCCTCTTTCATACACAAGGCATTTCCACTTTCCTCTTTCATTCATGATGACAACAACAACAAGTTGATTATAAAATCCCCCCTTCTTCTGTCTCCCCCTTCAACTTCTTTTCTCTTCCTCTCTCCAGCTCCTCCATCATCATCCATCAATACATACAACCCCTTTTGCATCAGAATCCATCATTCTCTTGTTGGAATTCATCAAGATCACTCATCCACTGTCCACCCTGTCTTTTTCCCACTCCATACACTGCATAAGATGTTCATTTCATCATACCAAAGAAGAAGAACACTGACAGAGACTTGCATACATAGTCAGAGAAGATTTTCAATTTTTTTTTTCCACAAAAAAGAAGACCAGCTCCCTTCTGTTCTTCAACAGTGTTCTCTCCCCCCCTCTCTCTCTGTGAACAATGTGAGTATTCCTCTGCTCCTCTACCATACAGTATAGAAAGCTGATTATAATGCAAGGGCTCTCATTCCATACAATTCTGTCACCACCCAGTGGAACCTGGCTCAGACTGAGTTGATTGACCCATATCATCCAGCTGCTGAACATCAAGATGGGTGGCAGGAATGGCCAGAGTATGGCACAATATATGCCAGCAATCCCCAGCTGGGTATATTTTGTCATAGTCCCCAATCCCATGCTCTGCTTGCTGTCCCTGGCTTTGATATATTGTACATCTGTATGTATATCAGAGCTGATCAAGTGTTGTCCCATTGTCCATCATACATCAATGCCATTCTGATCCAATCCTGTGGTAGAACTCTTGTCACAGGCTGTACACAGTGTTGTACATCCCCTGAGCTTAAACTGTTCCCATTGTGCCACTGTGTGTATGGTTACTTTGGAGGAGCATGTGCCAACTGCAAATGACATGACCATGCAGTATGCTGCTCCCTCCACAGCTCTGCAGACCAGCCTGGTATGTATGATGATTTCCATGATAGACAGCCACCACAGCTACAAGCACCAGCAGCAGGTGGTGTGAATCATGATGCTCAGTCTGATGCACAGAATAATCCCATTCTCATTGAATAGAGTATGTATGAAGCTTTCATTTTTCTGTTCTGTTCTGTTCTGTTCTCTCTCTTTGATCTCCATTTCTCCATTATTATTATAGATGTATATATATTATTATTATAGAGTTAGGCCTAGTTGTATGAGCTGTGTATGACACTCAGGCAGTTGACTTGCACTTCTACACAGTGCCTGGAACCAGTAGCTCTTTAGTAGGGGTGAAGTCAAGCAGGTCATTTAGCTAGTGGTTATATAACTTTCTGTGTGCAAAGTCACATGTACCTGAATTTAATAGTATTTCTCTTACTAAATACAAGTATCCTGTATGTATGAACATGAAATTGAACACACACCAGCAATAACCAGGTTATATGCAGTGGTGTTGATGGCTGAGTGACTGCGCCTCTGCATATAACCTGGTTATTGTGAGGGTCGGGTTCGAACACGCCGTAACCCGACCCACCTATAACTATAATAACTGTAGTTAATGAACTTTTGCAAGATATTACATAAATCAAGCGGTATGTACCGTACATGTAATAGGCTGTTTCCGAAGTTACGCCGTTTGCGGCCGCCAGACACGAGATTCCCCCGGAGTTACCCCGGACGTACCCCGGATTACCCCACAATACGTCACTGGCCACCGGGCGCGGGGCTGCACGGCTCACCCGTGGGTGTAACGTAATGTAACAATCAACGACTTCCGCTTCAACGCCAACTTCTTCGATCTTCAACCTCATCTTCAACTTCATCTTCAACTTGATCTTCTCCAACCTCATCTTCCAACCTCATCGCTGTCTCTTCTTCTCTTCTTCCCCTCTTCTTTCTCCTCCTCGTCTTCTGCTTCTGCTTCTGCTTCTTCTCCTTCTATTCAATCCTTCTTCACATCAAGTATTCAACTTTGCCTTGTCGGGCCCCCTCGTTTTGTTTTATTCGTGCCTCCTGTAGCCCTCCAAGTTCTGGTTTTCCTTCGGCCATTATTGCTTGCTTGCCAGCTAGGAACTTTCACCCCCCACCCTAGAACCCTTCCTGCAAGCTCCCTCGACCCTGCTGGCTCCAGTCGACCACCGTCGGGTGTGCAGTGTCCAGCATCTGCTGTCTGGTCTCTGCTGTCTTGACACATCATTCCTTAATCAAGACTGTTGGGGCTTCACAACCGCCCATCTCGTCTCCGCTCCTCCTTGTGATACGATATATTAGAGCGCTTCTTGTATTCCCTCCTCCATGCCCCAACCAGCCATGTAATTGGTCTCTGGGGTGTCTTTGGCTCAAACACACACACCTCGTCTAAGCTTCTGGATCAGCTTCTCTCTCTCTCTCTCTCTCTCTCTCTCTCTCTCTCTACTTTACTTGTTTGCTTTCTTGCTGTGCTCTTTGTTCTTTGTTCTACTGTGGGGAAAAGGGAGAAGGAAGAAGGAGAGAAAGCCAAACTGCTGCTCATCCTCCTCCTCTGTTCCCCAATCAAAAACCAAATAAATTTGACCCAATTCATCGCTCGGGCGCTTTGTTGTTTGTTTTCCCTGCGCCTGACCGTCTAGCCTAGCCTATTGTTATCTTCACCTTGGCTGAGCTCTTCTTATTCCTTCTTGTCATGTCCGAAGACCCCTCGAATTCAACCTCTTCCGCCTCTGCCGCCCCTTCCGTTCCTTCCGCTCGTCCTCGGGGTCGTCGTGCTTCTATTGCTTCTGGGACTTCCTTCTCAGAGCTTTTTACAAGGCACGGCAGCTCTGCTGCACCTCCGCAACCCCCGCCGACCGTCTCTATCAATATCCCCGGTTCAATCATGACGTCTGCAAATGCTCAAGCACAGCAACGCCGCCGCACGTCCATTTCCACGCTGGGTCTCTCTGGGTCTCCTACTCAGCAATCATCCCCTTTTGGTAGTGCTCCAGGCATGCGACGTGGGAGCATCTCAAGCTCTGCCATGTCCGGTTCGCCTACCTGGGAAGACTCTGTGCTCGAGGAGAATGGAAATGACACCCCGATGTCCTCGCCTACCGCTCCATTTACCCGTCGTGTCTCGTTTGGGGCTCAAGCATTCCGAGACCGTGTAGGCAGTGCAAGTGCAAACGGTAGATACCCTTCTGGAAATTCTACAGTGGCAGGACGGCGAGCTCCGTCCACCGCGAGTAGCACATCCTCTCCTGCTGCAAGTACGCATAAAACCAATCCCCAGAACAATAGCTCTAACCCCTCTTCTTGGCGCCCTCTAGGCGAAGGCTTTAATTGGCCGGAAGCCCTTCGGACGCGTGCGGAGCGTGCTCCTTCGTTCGGAAGCTTCCCCCCTAGCTCTCCCACTGCGGGCTTCCATGGATCACCGCCCAACCATTCGTCTGCCCCACATTTCAAGCACCACCAACGAGCTGCTTCCATTGCAACTATGGAACAACCTGTTCGCGAGATGCGTGATACTCAGCAACAGCCGAAGCCCAAGCAAAAACCAAAACCTGACTATTTCCAGGAAAAGATACTAAGGGGTGACTTTATGGACTAAGGTCTGATTTGCGCTCATTTTCTTCATTTTCTGTTCATTTTTTTTTTTTCTCCATCAACGAATAAGCAATCGCCCCCCTCTCTAAAGGTTGCATTCTGTTGGCCACCTTGCTTCCTTTACTTCCTGGATTAGGAAATAAAATAAACAAATGGAGACGCGAATCCAAGCAAATGAAAGGGATATCCATTCTTTCGAAAGTCATTGGCAGCCGCATTAAAATTTCAACGAACCAATTATATCAGGGGGCTAGTAAAACAACAAATATGACAGGCCCATTTTTATCAGATAAAATGGCACTTCTCCCTAGGGATCGAACTCTTAGCATTCGTCCTCACTCGAATCCTATTCATTCTCACCATTTTCACAGGTTCAGCCCCAGCTATCTCTGAAGGTATCTATATTTTTATGCGTGTGTGCGTGCTCATTCTATCGCCCAATTTAAGACTCGGGACATGAGGGCTGGCCGAGCCTACCCCATACATTTTTTATTCTAGTCTCGCGGACACGCATGTGGCGAAGCTGTCTCTCGCCACCTTTGCCATTGCATTTTTCTTTCAAGGAATAAATAGTTTTTCTTCTTTCCCCGTTCCCCCCCTCTTTTTTTTTTTTATATACATTCAGCGCCTTCCTCCCAAGTCCTTGTTTTCTTTTTTTGTGCTGGGCTGTTTGACAAAGGCAAGACTGAACTACAACTTGGAGCAGATTCATGGCGGCGTAGGGGCTTGGTTTATGTAATTTATTTCTCCTCTTTCAATTGATCCTCAGCTTGAATATTATGAAAATACTAAACTCCCATTGTTTTTGGCCCTTTCTCTATTCTTATTCTCCCTTTCTAGCTCCCTTTCTTTGCCTCCTCTCTGCGGTCTGATATTTTATAATCTAAAAGGGAAATGATATAGGTATGAATGTAAATTTTTAGCCACGTAGTTTAAAAGAAAAGGGACTTCAACTCGTCTCCATTCAAACAATCCAATCTGACCACACCGTATATGAAACGAGCCCATCATAAAATCAGGTGGGAATTTTGGTAGTGAGTATCATATAAAAATACGAGAGGAGCAATACGCCTTAAAGGGGGAACGTTACAGATTTATTAGGGTTAACTTCGAATGAAGGGAGAAATATATAAACAAGGCAGAATGAACTGAACAATGTGGCCCCAACTGGGCTTGACATTCTTTTGGCAGCGAAGGCCAATAAAATTAGAAGGTTAGTTAGGCTTTGTCGGTTACCAACGAAAGAAATAGGGGGGGAAACAAGCCGATTGTAGAAACCATTAGTTAAACCCCATCCAATACTGAAGAGACAAGTGGTTTTCCCTCAATAAGGGATGTTGTTTGTCAGCAACTGGAACTGGTCATACCCCTTCGTCGACATGCTCATGTAGCTCTTCTTCACGAGGTCCCGCATGTAGTCAGCAGCCTCCCGCTCAGTCTTTTCCAGAACAAACCTGTCCCTGAAGTTTTTCAGCGTATCAGGTTTAAAGCAAGGAAGGCCGCTGTCAAGCATCAGGGTGACAATATGGGATAGCTTCGTTGCATATGGCCTGGAGGCAAGGAAGGCCTTGGCGACAAGCGACTCGAACCAACGGTATGACTGTGAATTCGTCGGGTTACTACTACCAAGAGAGATCCCGCCGCCGCTGCCGCCGCCGCCAGTTGACGACGAACCACCCGAGCCGGAATGGGCATTCTGCCCACCCATCACTGCTACCATTTCAGATGTGAGTTTGAAAGGCGCGCGCTCGAATCGGACTCCACCTGGGGCGATGTCGAAACAGAAACCAAAGTCGATGTGGATGATATGGCCAGCATCGTCGATCATGATGTTTCCATTATGGCGGTCTTTGAATTGGAGAAGATAGGATATGACCGAGTAGGCGGCCATGCTCTTGACGAAATTGCTTCTTGCCTCTTGGAAACGGGTAGATTGCTCACCACCATATTTGGAGATAAAGTAATCGTACAGGCCATTGACAGCTTCGCGACCCAGCATATCTCGAGAAATAGAGTTAGGGAGCACATCAATTACACCGCAGCCTGGTGCCGTGGCTGTGACGCGATAAGGGTATACAAACACATCCAAGCCAATGCCCATGAAAATGCTCCGAAAAGCCGCTATCATTTGTAGCGCCAGTACGTCCTGGCGGCAATCGTCACCTACTTTAAAGATGGCAGACTGCCAGACCTCGTAGGTTAATTCTGATTCTTGGGTATTAGCAGCCTGCACCACAGAGTCATTGACGCTTTCTCGGCGTTGTGCGTCATCAGATATGACCGTTGGCATCGTAGTAGGATTTCCATTGCCATTTTCCTCCACCTTTTTAGTTTTTTTGATCCGGAACGTCGCCATGTAGGGAGCCTTTGCGTGGCTTTGTAACGGCTTTCCAGACTTTCGATCAATCCCGATTACCTCACCATCTGGATTGCTCGGAAGATAAACTCCAACTTCTACTTTAATTTTGCGCAATTCCTCCTCGATTTTTTGTTTCTTCTCTGGTTTGCTTCGTTTTATATAAGGGCGCAATTTTCCAGAGATACCCGTGATCTCGTTGAAGAAAGAGAATTCTCTCTCGTAGAAGGCCCGATCCTCCTCGGAGAAATGGTTCATCAATTTATCTAAGAACTGGTCTAGAACCGGCTTGATAGGATCAGGCTGTCGCAAACATTGTGAAAATTAGCGCATCTTTTCCTTCTAATTTTTCGGGGCAGTGGGTAATCAAAAATGGGACGGTTCACATACAGTTTGGGAATCTTCATCCTTGTACGCATTCGCTTTCATGTTCCAGATAACCTGATGGGCAAAAAGCTGAGATAGCTGTGCGGTCTCAAATATGTAACGCTCAACATATCCTAAAGCATCATATCGCAGGGCTTGAACAAGCTGCGGGATGTAAAAGAAGCTCACGTCCACAGAATGGCTCTCTAGTGATCGCATGGCATACTGCAGGATAAAAGGATGGTTTCTATAGGCTGGTAAGAAATATGTCGCTGCTTCAATAGGATTTACAGGTGCCCAGAAGAGAAGATATTTGAGTTGAAACGACACGTCAGGAGGTAACTCGGAGCCAAGGAGCACATTCAGGCTATCGGGGTCACAGATGGCCTTCTCTGGAAAGTTGAGCAACAGCCAGCGTACGTCGCTTCTGAGCTTTGGTGAAGGAAACCGGTTTGCAAGCTGCAAAGCTAAGCCATGGTTCTCAGCCCATGCCAGCCGCATCAACGGCGATATAACCTGGAGATCGTGGTTAGATGGGACTTGGTCTTGAAAAATAAAAGGGCATTCAATGAGTAATAGAGTGGGAACAGACCTCGGGATCGACCTTATTTCCTGAGCTTGAAGTGTAATGGCGTCTCTCATGCTCCAGGGGGGAAAGCCATACTCTTAGTCGGAATCGCTCGTTGTCGATCAGGAGTTTGACTAATTCTTGCTTGGTTTGGAGGGACTTTCTTGTGCCGGATGACCCTGAAGCTATACGGGCCGTACTCTCTAGGATACACTCAATGTCTTGAAGGAGCTTATCTTCGGCCTTCATCTGCAGCCGGTTACCTCCTAACGACCACCTTGAAAAGAAAAATGATCAGTCATATTTTCTGAAGAAAAGTTATCTTATGTATAAGTAAGTACATACCTAGGAGGATGGCTGAACCAACTCAAAGCAGCTGAGAGAATTTGATCCTTCAATTTCCATAAAGCAATCTTGGTTTGAGATGTACAATATCGGAGTACCTTCAAGCCAAACAAAACGATGTGGAAATGAATTTCGCGCGCAAGTGGGTGGCCGGTCGTATTTTGTAGACTAACCAAGGTTGTTCCTACTAGACGGCTAAATATGCGCTGAGTGTGGACGCTACCAAGTCTGGTCGCATTGAAATGGCTTTCGAAGAATTGAAGGATGCGGAAGTGTGGCGATATGATATTTTGCGCCTTCTGTTGACGTTTAAGCACTATGGCTTTATCGGACGGAGAAAACTCGGTTTTGGTCATAAATGGGTCGGTAAATCTAAATGAATGGGAATAGTGAGGTTCGAACGGAAAGAAAGAAGAAAAAAAGCAAACGAAAATCTTATTCTCACGCACTTGAAAGTAGGATTGAAAATCCCCAGCTTCCTATGGATGGTCCGCTCCCACGCTTGTGCAACTTCGGTCAGGATTCTCGGCTCTGTATGTGGATTCTCATGGATTGCGCCCAGCCACAGTGAAATTCCCATTTTGATCGACTCCCTTGTAAAAATCTGGAATGGTATGTTAACAAGGTGTGAGATGATCGATGTTTCCGCTTCTCTAGAGCTACAGATCAACGCAGTAGCCTTGCGAAGGAGATTACGACATGTGTCTAATGCGATAGGTTGGCCCTCGGAAATTCGGGATTCCAACTCGACGAGCATTGCCTCCATACTTTGAATGGTATTCAGGTGGGCTGAGGAAGTCGAGTCGGCTTGGTCAAGCGGAAAAATCCATCCCTGACGGTGTAGACGAGGCGCCTCAGAATATCGATACTCCTGGCGGGTTGTATACTGGGAAATAAAATCGGACGCTACGTTTACGATCGAGTTGTTGTTGCACTCGATGGAGCCTAAGGAAAGTATCGTTAGTATGTGCATGGCGCAGTCGAGAATGAGATAACACGGAATCATTGCTTTTAACTTGCCTAGTCTTTGGTCGCTGGATGGAATGGCGGAACCCATTTCCAACGCAAATGAACGGCCCATAGAGATGTGACCATATGCACCGTCGTCCTCGTAATCCGAAAGGTAAGTTTGAAGCAGGCCCTTAACATCCAATGGAGCAATATTCATAACGGTCGATACCCATGTTCGTGCCAATCTATAAAACCGAGTGAACGTGTGCCTTCGGAAATCATAGTTATCCGATAACTCGACCTGCACAACGCCCCTCGCGGAAGTGAAGGTAGACTTCCACTCGAATTCGTCGAGTTCCTCGTCCAAGCAGGATGACCACATGATAGTCAATAAATCCAAAAGAACAAAAAGAGACCTCTTTTGGCAAAGCGAAGAAGGGCATTGATTAATTATTTTGCTCGCGGTGGATGTCGCGACCTGTTGGACCTTTTCGATTCGATGACAGCAGGACATGAAGGTGTCTGCTAGCTGAGCAGAAATATAAGAAGCTGAAAATTTTGTGGAAGACCCAGAGAGAGACTTTTCAAGGTAGATTGACACAACTTTATCTGCGATAGCATTCATACAACTACCGACATCGGTACTGTTGAGGGCCGGGTCGAGGAAATAGGTTAGGACTTTTGTGCAGTCGCCTGATGCTGCCCGAAGGCTCTCGATCAGCAGAGTGGCGTTCAAAAAGACTGTCTTGGGATAGCCCAACCGTCTGATATCCTGTTCAAGGTGTGGAAGCTCAGCGGCGAGGTTCTTCCGCTGCTCTGTAGCGTGGGTCTGGGTTGCTCCACGCCTCAGCACAGTGTTCAATTCAATATCACTTTCTAGCAACTCAGTGCGGTTCTCCGCAACTAATGGGGCTGACTGAACCGCAAGAATACGGAGTTCCTGATAATATTGTCGAAACATTTCCGAACGTAGCGATATGCCATGGACTACAATATTGAACCATAGATCCCGAAGAAGTGAAGGTATATCAAGTTCGCTCGCACCAACGAGAGAATCCCAATTGGATTGGCCCCTGGAGAATAAAATAGCAAGTGGTTTGACCAAAGGGATGATCTCTTCTGCAGATAGCTCCACATCTTTCTGGTGGTCCTTCCCTGTATCAGTCGCGTCGCCTTTATTCACAATACTTTCAAGGAGGTGAATCAGGTACACCCGATAATGTACCGAGTGTGGATTTGCATTCTCTGCTAGATGATTTCTCGCCTTTTGGACCTATACTAGGAAGTTAGGCTGTTTGAAACACCATGGTATCAGAGGACGTAGGGGGAATGGATGACATACCGCATCAAGCATGAGGGTATTGACTTGGGAAAGGGCTTCACTATAGATACGAGAATAAAATTTAAGAAGCACTCGAAACTCTGCCTCGTCACTATGGAGGGCCAGCGCAGCAGTTTCCTCTATGATACAGGCATTGACAACGACGCTTATTTTCCCGATCTTTTGCAGCAACATTGACTGGGCCAATGCTACGATTTTACTATCCTTGCAGCTTGTGGAGATTGTGATTATTGCATGCACCACGTTTCGGTAGGTGATTGTTGTTTCAGCATCCTCCTCACAGGTGAGAGATATGACGCTGCCGTTTGAAGTGTTTTGGTACGGCGGCGCCAAGCTTCGAGAATGAGAATGAAGAGCTATGCCGTCAGCAGTAAGTTGGTGCGATTTGTCTGCCGTTGGGCCCGAGCTCAGAAAATTCCCCAAGGTGTACAAAGTACCAATGACGGTGTCCTGTGAGAGGAGGCGAAGGGTCGTAGCCAGGCAGTTCGCAGCTGTCGCTACAGTGGCGCCGCTCTGTCCGTTATGCACGATGAATTTGAGAAAACAGCGGGTAGTATTTGAAGCCATGTTAGGACATAGCCGTGTTAAGACTGCCAGGGATTTGAGGACTACTCCTGCAAGCTCCCCATCGCCCATCTGGTCGAAATTGAGCAGCGTGTCTTCTAACCATGAATAAAGAAGCTCAGGATCGGCCGAGTCTTCATCAAGAATGGCGCAATTGAGGAAGCTGACCAGGGAAAACGATTTCACGGAGAAGGCTAGCCGTTGTTGCCATGCCGAGCCAAGCTGTAGATAATCAGATCCATCCTCGAGTTGCTGGATCTGCTCAGCGATTATATCTGCCAATGGACCGACGAGTAGGGATTGGTCGTCTCGGTGCTGTCTCGTTATCTCGAGACTGCTGAGGTATTGATCCAGGAGGGCGCTTTCAGAAATACTCCGGCCATCAGCACCAGCAGGCGAGGTAGAAGCCTTAATAAATCGCATAAACCCTTGTTGCAGAAGCATTGCGCCAAGTGGGCGCCCTCCCGACGCATAACGTCGAGCATATCGCCGCCAATCAAGGAGGATGCGATCGGACGATTCAGAGCTACGGAGCATTGACGACACGGTCTCAACCGTTATCAAAAACTGCTCAGAAAGAATCAACCGCAGCTGATTGACGATCTTGAGTCTTTCCTTTGGTTGCCAAAAGCTAGCATGGACAGAGGCAGCTTCCAGGAACCCCATAAGGGACACGGTAATGGATGCCACATTCACAGCAGCCTGGAAATCTCCCAGGTCTCTTTCGCCATTCGCGCGGTTCTGCAAAGCGGGGAGGGATTTGGTGGCATGGATGCAATTTGCGAGATAGGACATCACGCTCTGGAGGACATCGTCGCGGTGGCCGGGAAATCGAGAGCCAAGCGATAAGAGGGAGATGGTCAGATTGTATGTCAAGGCTTCCCACGGAGACGGTTTAATGCTGTAGAGGAACGGAGATGCGTGCAGTAGCAGGAGGTGTGAATCGGGGAGGTATGCAGCCAGCTGGGAGATCAATTTCGCGGCAGGTTTTGGGGGGGACGTCTTGGAGGCTGCTCGACAAAGCGCCAAAAGCGCATCCAATTCCCGAATGGTCTTGTCATATGATCAGGTTAGATAGAGTCTTCCACATATAGATAGAATAATCATCCATAATATACATAGCCGAACGGAAAGTGGGATAAAGCGGGCATACCAACGGCGAAGTGGGCGAGGGGCGGCTCCTGGAAACACCATCGAGATATCCACTAGAGAGCAACTTTGGACGATTACAGGCGTCCCCCAGCCGGTCGACATCTGATACGATGTCACCGTCATTCCCCGGGAAGCTAGTGGCCAACTCCGCAAGCTTGTCGAAGGCCGCGCGCCTGAGATAGGAGGGTAGAGACGGGGGCGACCTAGAAGTGACCCAAAGTCAACGGGCAATTCTGGGGGTGGTGGACCAGCCAAGTTGGAAGGGATAGACATACATGCTCAAAGGGATACCTGCTGAAGAGCCCGCAGGAGACTAGCACCGGAGTGGAGAGAGCATTGGACGGTGGATGTGTGGTTGTGCACCAGAGTGAGAGAGGTCGGCCAGAGGTGTTGGGGGTTGATATCAAGCAGCGCAGACATGTAAGATAGATACAGCACATATTCAGGCGGTAGTACTTCAGCCATACATGACAAGGTACAGGGAGCTCCACCACAGAACACTAAGGCTGCGAGGTACAGAGTACTTCTCCATGATGTAGTCCGCCTGCAGCTCATTTGATTATTTGGACTATCTATGGCTAAATACATTGATCATTATCCACTATTTGGCCATTGATTTATATCTAAGCTAGTTAGGTATGTAAATAACATCCCCCAGGAACTGAAACGAAAAATACGCACGCTAGAAACTCAAAAGCCCGCTGGAACAGTTCGAACGACCAACATTTATTTATTTATTTTTAGTGGAGCAGTTCGCAGCCTCCAGCCTCCAACCTCTTCTGCTTGTCCCAGTCTCGCTGATTGGACTGTCTGCTGGGCCCACGCAAGGCTGACCTGCATCCTGGGCGCTGGGGAAGACTTTTGTCTGGAGGATTAGAGGTATTTTATCACGATCCTTTCTCTACCCGCGAGCGAACGACCTCGATCCAGCCTCTGTCTGACTCCCTCCGCACAACCTTGAACCAGATAGTGGGAAAAGGAGAAAAGAAAAAAAGAAAACGAAAAACAAAAAGAAAAAGAACAAAATAGTCTCCATTGTCGTCTATTTCTACTTTTCTTTTTGCTTTCCTCGGCGTCGCGCTGCCTACGACATTTAATCCGCATTTTAATCGTCCCCAGGCGACTAAATATGGCCCCAAAGAAAGAAAAAAGTCATCTGAAACGAGGCCGGGTGAGATATATATATACCCTTGTGGACTCAAATCATTGACCCTATTCGTATTCTTCATTGTTCTTCCTTTTTTTCTTTTTTCCTTGCTGTGACTATATCTTTGACTAATCTTTGCGTTGTTACATCCTGGCTCTTATATATCTAGCCCAGTGCGGGAAACCAAGCACTTCAAGAGGCGAAAAAACCACGACGCTCAGAGCGGATATCGTCTCAATCCCAATCCCAATCCACCAACTTCAACAACGTGTATCTGCCCTCCCCGCTCACCCACCAAGAGTCCACGGCTACCGAACTGCAGAACGAAACGACAGTGGCCCCGTTCGAAGGCCGTCGCAGCCAATTCCGTCATCACACCCCGGTTGCTGAGCTGCCCTTCTCATCCCCTCCGAGTGATACTCAAGCCCTCTCCCAATTTGTTTACCCCCCAAGAGCTCTTGCAGATGAAGTGGACGACGAGGCCGCTGAGGGGATCTGGGGCTACCTTATTCCTCTCGATGACAAGTTCGGAGACCCATTGGTTTTGAAAAAGAGAGACACTTGCTCTTCGCCTGCCGGGCGACAAGCAAATCGCAGAAATGGAACCTCAAGATCAAAACGAGGCAAATCCAAATTAGAAACCCCTGCTTCCCAAGATCATACCGGTGGCTATCTCATCGGGCGCCATTCGGAATGCGGTATGTGCTTGCCAACGGGAATGTGGTAGTCGCTACCGCCTCTAAATTGTCATCGCGATCTTGATATTATGGCAACGACATGCTGATTGATTTTCCTCTTGTTGTAGATTTCGTCCTTGATATACCCACCATATCCAATCGGCATTGTTTGATATATAACGAAAACAAACGAGGTGATTCCGTTGCCGTGCTGGAAGACCTGTCCAGCAACGGGACATTTATCAACGAGGCAATCGTGGGGCGCAATAAACGCCGCGAGCTAGAGGATGGAGACGAAGTAACCGTGCTGGATGAAGCGCGTTTTGTCTTTCGCTATCCGAAAATCAGAGACACTAACAAATTCCGACAGCAATATCGCATTCTGCAACAGCTAGGGAAGGGCCATTTTGCCTCTGTATACCTGTGCGTAGAGAGGTCGACCGGTGACAAATATGCAGTGAAGCGTTTTGAGAGACGCCCGGGAGACTCACAGCGAGCCGACAATGATGGTTTAAAGCAGGAAATTGCGGTGCTCATGAGCGTGAATCACCCGAACGTACTCTGTCTGAAGGACACCTTCGACGAGAGCGATGGTGTCTACTTAGTCCTCGAACTTGCCCCCGAAGGCGAGCTATTCAATTGGATTGTTTCGAATCAAAAGCTTACGGAAAATGAAGCCCGAAAGGTTTTCACTCAATTGTTTAAGGGTCTCAAATATCTTGTACGGTTGATAGCTTCCTACCCTCGTCATACCCTGTTTCGTGCTGACTGTTTTTTCTTTTCTTTTTCACCTTTGGTCTAGCATGAACGGAACATTGTCCACCGGGACATTAAGCCGGAGAATATCCTGTTGGTGGATGATAAGCTTACCGTGAAGCTGGCTGATTTTGGCCTTGCTAAAATAATAGGGGAGGATTCTTTCACGACGACTTTGTAGGTTTATATATTCCAGTTGTCCCAGCGAGACAGCCGATAATAATGAACAAACCACAAACCTGAAAATTGCTAACGATAATCCCGAACAGATGTGGCACACCCAGCTGTCAGTTCTGAAATTATTATTCCCACACCCGGCTTGACCCTTCCCCCCCTTGCAAACTACTACTAACCTTAAAGCAGATGTTGCTCCTGAAATTCTCGAAGAAAATCCGCGCCATCGGAAATACAGCCGGGCAGTGGACATCTGGTCTCTTGGCGTGGTGTTATACATCTGCCTCTGCGGCTTCCCGCCGTTCTCCGACGAACTCTACACGCGCGAAAACCCCTACACGCTGGCTCAGCAAATCAAGCTGGGCCGCTTCGACTATCCCTCTCCCTACTGGGATTCAGTCGAGGACCCAGCACTCGATCTCATCGACCGAATGCTCACTATTGACTTTAACAAGCGCATCACCATCGACGAGTGCCTGGAGCATCCGTGGTTGACGGGGCGCGGCAAGTACCCGAGCATCAACGACAGCACAGACGGCCTGACGGGTGCAATGGGCCAGCTTGATTTCTCGAAGCGTAAAATGGCGCGCGAACGCACTTTGATAAGTAGCATCAACATTCTACCATCGAGCCAGGTTGTTGGCGATCTAGCAACGGGAGGACATGGGTATAGACCGGTGAGAGTATTCGACAGGAACGAAGCCAGCAGACGAATGCACCATGCGCCGAGGGGTGGTGGTGGTGGTGGTGGTGGTGGTGGGCGAGTGCGGCAGGAACCCACACCCGCGGCAAATAGGGATCCAGCCCACTTCATGAATTTGGGTGGGCGTGGAGATCCGACATTATACAGCGATGATCAGGACGAGAGGTACACCCGGGGAAGACGGAGGTGAAGGGGACATTCCTTTTATTTCTTCTCCCTTTTCCTTTCCCTTTCTTTGTCTAGTACGAGGGTTTCATGTATGTCTGCTCCTTACAGCACCTGTTGCTGTGGATACATTCCGGGTTCTGTCCTGTTTGTTTCTCTTAGTTTGGTTGAGACAGGATAGGATATCATTTTACTTCAGTTATGTATATCGGTAATATACGAGGCTCTCTATATATACGGTTGGCTATCTCTGCCACTGCTGGTTGCTGCTCAATGTCGGATTCCTCGATCCAAATATTTATTTACAGATTACGGATATTGCGATTGTTTTTTTTCGGTTTTTCTTTTCCAGGTGGCGTGATCATATTTCTGCTGCGTCACAGCAATACGCACAATACGGAACTAGTAACATTGGAAGGCTGGGCAGGGGTAAAGTTGCATGCTGCCATTCGGTATTACAGGGTCTTGGAACCAGATGGTAATGTACAGATCTGTACTGTACTTCTATCCCCAGCATGTACCGCACCGTAACTGCGTACCGAGTGCGAATACGGGTATTGGGCCGCTGTATGATACTTACCACGGTACGCAGAAATGCTGACTCAACTTCCGAAAATCTAACTAGAAAAGTCAACCACCCAATGAAGTTCTCAAACTTATCGTGTTTGGGCTTCATCTCCCCTGAACGATTCTCCTTGACTGTGGTTGTCGAATCCCCCACAATTCTCAGCAGTCGATTCCTCTGCGCCGCTGATATCGCCATGGGGCACCTTGCCGATGTTGTCGCTCGTGTCTGTGCCCACTGCTCTACCCTGTCTCTCTGGGCGCTTCTGCTCGCCGGTTCCGCTACTTTTATCGTCCTCTCCGTGATCATAAACCTCCTACACCAACTTCTCTGGAAAAACCCCAATGAGCCCCCCGTTGTCTTCCACTGGTTCCCAATCATCGGAAGCACCATCTCCTATGGAATTGACCCGTACAAGTTCTTCCTGGACTGCAGGGAAAAGGTTCGTTCCCCTCCCGATCGACGTTACCCATACAACCACAACATGGTTTGGGGATGTTGAATTCTCTCTCTCTCTCTCTCTCTAACGCGTTGCTTCGGTTTCCACTGTTTTCGTCTTATATAGTATGGCGACATCTTTACATTCGTCCTTCTTGGAAAAAAGACTACCGTGTTTCTTGGAACAAAAGGCAACGATTTCATCCTGAACGGCAAGCTCAAGGATGTTTGCGCCGAGGAGGTCTACTCGCCACTCACCACGCCCGTTTTTGGCAGACATGTCGTCTACGATTGTCCAAACTCGAAGCTGATGGAGCAAAAGAAGGTACTACTAATAATATAACCCTAACCCGCTTAGGAAAATACTTTACTGATTACCGATTACTATACCATAGTTTGTCAAATACGGGTTAACCTCGGAATCATTACGGTCATACGTTACTTTAATCACAGACGAATTCAACCGATACATAAAAACATCACCTGCATTTCAGGGTGACAAGGGAGTTCTCGATGTGTGCAAAAGCGTTTCTGAGATTACCATATATACCGCCTCCCGCTCGTTGCAAGGAAAAGAAGTGAGAAGCAAGTTCGACTCTAGTTTTGCCCAGCTCTATCACGATTTGGATATGGGGTTTACCCCGATCAACTTCATGTTCCCCTGGGCCCCACTACCCCATAACCGTAAGCGCGACGCCGCCCAGCAAAAAATGTCGAAAATCTACACGGACATCATCCGTCAGCGACGGGAAGCCGGCGTCAAAAAGGATTCAGAAGATATGGTCTGGAATTTGATGTCCTGTGTTTACAAGGATGGAACTCCGCTCCCAGACATCGAGATTGCCCACATGATGATCGCGTTGTTAATGGCCGGCCAGCACTCATCCTCCGCCACCCTCTCATGGATCATTCTCCGGCTCGCATCTTGCCCACACATTATTGAGGAGCTGTATGAGGAGCAGAAACGGGTGCTTGGGGAAGACCTCCCACCTCTGACCTATGAAACGCTTCAGAATCTCAACCTCAACTCTCACGTTATCAGAGAGACCCTCCGCATTCATGCTCCAATTCACTCCATTCTCCGCGCCGTCAAATCTCCAATGCCTGTTGACGGAACACGCTATACAATCCCCACCACCCACAACCTGCTCGCAGCACCCGGCGTAACATCACGATTACCCGAGCACTTCCCCAATCCGATGACCTGGGACCCTCATCGCTGGGAAAATCCTGCAATGGCACAGGTGGAAGATCAATCCGACGAAAAGCTTGACTACGGCTACGGCTTGGTCAGCAAGGGCGCCAACAGCCCTTACCTACCCTTTGGCTCCGGGCGACATCGGTGCATCGGTGAACAATTCGCATATGTACAGCTAGGAACTCTCCTAGTTGCGATCGTCAGACAGCTAAAATTGAAGAAACTCGACGGTGAGACAGGAGTGCCAGAAACAGATTACTCGGTAAGACCACCACGAGATCCCTTTTTCTGGCCAGATGTTTCCTGCTTTTTGACTTTTGGAAGATTGCGATGCTAACCTATCTGGCTAGTCACTTTTTTCAAAGCCTCTAGGAAAACCGCTTGTCGCATGGGAGAGGAGAAATCCCACCCAAAAATAAACCATACCGCTCATATTTTCCCGGCCTGCGTTTGGGCCATGTACTACGCTCAAGGGAAGTTTGTGTTAAAACTATTTTGATCTTATTTTGACTTTCTCGTCTCCTTCTTTTCCTGCAATTTCTCACCTTGGAAGAGGATATTATATTTTTTATTCTCGCACTGTAAAGGTCCAAACGGCCCTCACACTTTGCGCTTTTCTTCATCTGTATGTTTATATGCATCTACGTAATGGTAATAATCGAGTTGTGGAACTGTTTATATTATATATATTTATTTATTTATCTGCTCCTTCCCCTTGCATCTCCTGGTACCAAGAGCTTTCCATTGTATTTTAAGACAAGAGAAAAAAAAAGAAGGATATCCGTAGATAAATTCCAAACCATAAATACAAAGTCTAAGAGAACTCTCTCTAAACGTAACATATTAAAGGAAAAGAAAAAGCGACTTAATGTACTGTACATATCCGCTCCCAAAAAAGAAAAGCACAAGGCAAAAAAAATACTACACGGCGGCCTTTTTCCTCTCCTCGCTCCTTTTCTTCGCCCTTACCTCCGCTTGCCTCCTCTCGCCCCCGTCAATCTTCCGTCCCTGCTTATCCTCCCACATACCCTCCTGCACCTTTATGATTCCCGCCATTCCATTTGACCCTTTTATCAACTTCAGGTATGGCGCCCTTAGCACGTTGCCACGCACCAGGGAGACTTTCGTATATTTCTTGAGCGGCTGCGGTACCTCTGTCGGCTGCGACTCACCAGGCGGCAGGTTCACTACTGCCCATTTCATGCCGGGAGACAGCGTGGCAGTGCCTGTGACTGTGAAGGGGGGGATTTCACGCTTGCCTAGGCCACCATCCGTGGCCGTAGGTGTGCTATTTTTCCCCGCCGTCCTCTTCAGAACTGTATCCCTGGGCACCTCGACCACCCTCAGCTGACCCGCGCCATCAACGACATGTTCCAAATCGCCACCAACCCCATACTCGCCGCGTTGAAACTTCTGGCGCCAGCGGAGCAGATAGCGGCGAAGGCGGGCTGGTTCGATGCCCCGGTCCTTCAAGTCTGCGGAGGAGAGGGTGAATAGCTCGTCCCAGGACGCGAATTTAGGGGCGAAGCGAGACATGTTGCGGCCGATTAGGGATAGGAAGGTTTGAGTATCCGGGACGAAGGGGGTTGGCGGGGGAACGCGGAGCTGGGAGCTTCTATGGAGCCGGCGGAGGAATTGGTGAGAGGGGGAGAAGAAAGAGAAATGCAAACGGGACGTATGGGAAGTGGTTAGAAGGCGGGGAGAGCAAGGCTTGAGTGGGATGGTTCGGGCCGCCATGGTGAATATTGGTTGCGATGGTCGACGGGGGCCCAAAAACGGTATGGGAGGGCGTTCGGCGGGGAGTCCAATTGGGGATGCTCTCGGTCACCTATAAGTGAGAGGATATGCCGAAGCGCATCCAGTGCCGTGTGGGCGTTTTGTCAGCGCAGAACAGCGATGCGCGATGTGCAGCATGTCGCATCGGTCTCCAGCAACGATCGTTAGAGAGAGTATTTTTCAGTTGCAGCCGGGCAATTGGGTCGGAGCTGGAACAACGATTGTCCGTGGCCAAACTACGCATTATGTCATCCGCCTCAACGACTTCCGTCTTCAACTGCTTTTTGCTTTGACTCTGTGTATACTGCACTGCGTACTCCGTACTCTGCATGCGCTGTATAGCCCTGACCAGACATGGCCGTGTGGAGCGAGGCATAGACACGGCATGTCGCCACGATCACTGGTGCCTGGCCCACATCCTGGCTGCATTGCCGCGCTTTGCTGACCCTATTTGATTTACCCAGCTTCCTATCGCGCCGGAACACCCCAACTTCACCCACCCACAATGGCGGTGTCGCCTGTGGTTACACGTTCGCCCTCCGGAACCGATTCAGCTACGGGCGGGACAGCTACCCATGCCAAAATACTTGCCATGCGCAACTCTGGCCGGGTGGAACAGCGACCCGCCTCGCAACCAACGCCTGCCTCTGAACTTGGGGGTTCTCTGGCTGTGATACCAGAACCAGCCGAACAATTAAATGCAGCTATAAGCCGTAAATATATTAAGGGTGGGTTTTGTCTCCCTTGTATATATATCTCCTACTGGGTTCTTCCATTCTACCCTTTTAGTTCCTAGAATGTGGAGCCCACGCTTACTTGAGCCTGGCACTGGCACAGATAAAAAGCTTGGAGAAGGTACATATGCCATCGTGTATCTCGGGCACCTGCGACATGACCCCGCTTCACTCGTTGCCATCAAAAAAATAAAAGTCAATCCGGAATACAAAGATGGGTTGTCCGTGGACGCCATTCGGGAGGTGAAATATCTCCAGGAATTATCACATCCCAATATCATTGCGCTTCATGACGTCTTCTCTTCTAAGGACCAGAACCTCAATCTTGTCCTTGAATTCCTCCCGTTAGGAGATCTGGAAATGCTTATCAAAGATAGGAATATCCAGTATGGGGCGGCAGACGTTAAAGCGTGGATGGGAATGCTGGCCCGGGGTGTCTGGTTCTGTCACGAAAACTTTGTTCTGCATCGTGACATCAAGCCCAACAATCTCCTCATCGCCTCCGATGGTGAGGTGAAGCTAGCCGATTTCGGTCTGGCACGGTCATTTGCGGACCCGTATTTGAACATGACTCATCAAGTCATCACTCGCTGGTACCGGCCCCTTGAGCTGCTGTACGGCGCGAGACAATACTCCGGCGCAGTGGACATCTGGTCGATGGGCATGGTCTTTGCCGAACTCCTCCTGCGCGTCCCGTTTGCAGCGGGACACACCGACATGGACCAGATATCCAAAATCATTGACGCCTTCGGAACCCCAACCGAGGAAAACTGGCCGGGCGTGACCAGACTTCCAAACTTCGTACCCATTCAAGAAAACCAGATCACCCCCTTACAGGGTCGTGATTTTTTCATCCGACAGTTCCCTACAGCCGGACCTTTAGGTGCTGACCTGCTCGCATCGATGTTGAAATTGGATCCGCGAAAACGCAGCACCGCACGGCAAGTGCTGCAGCATCCGTGGTGGGTGGCCGAGCCGCGACCAACGCGAAATGGGGACTTGCCGCGAAAAGCCGGTGGTGCGAAGAAGATGGGCGATGACCTGGTTCGGCGGGGTGGGGAGATTGATGAGACTCGATTTAAGGACGTGGCACGGCAATTGGATTTTAATGCAATGAGATAGTTAATGTCACCTTACTTACTCAAGGGGGGTTGTTTACTATTCTCTAGTAGTACTGAATCGTGGACGACATGCGACATGCTTGTCGTCCGATACGACTCGTAATCCGACAATCCTGGTGAAGCGGCTGGTTTTAGATTGGTTGAAACATGGTTCATCACAAACGGCAACCCATTATCTAAAAGCCCGACTACCAACGGAATAATCAATGGCCCTTCGTCATGGGTCAGCTGAATTTTGAGCGGCCTTTTTGGGACGACCATTTTCAAACCTCACGGGTCAGCTACCAAAGGAAGCGCCACCACTTTGGCTCTGTTGCGGCTTTGCTATTCGGAATTGAAATCAAGAGACAATTCTGGGATTCCCCCGCTCAATACAGCAAATTGGAAAAAAAAAGAGAATTTCGCTGGCGCGCCACAGGGATATTTCCAGAACGCACTATGACGCGGAGGAGTTTTGGGGCTAATAAGCTAGACATACGCAGTAATTATAGACAAACATGGCGAGTGGTTCTAGAGCTTGACAAGCTGCAGCTCAAGCACTGCAGCCAGTGAGGCGCCTGGCGACCATGTTTCCCGTTTGGTGATTTCCTGAAAATAGAATTAAATGAATAGCATTTTGTTTTTTTATTTTGTTTTTTTTTTTGCTCCCTCCTTCCAGCGGCGGAGTGTATTTGGGCGAAAGTAGTCCCCTCCCGCTCACCTCCACGCGACGGTCCATACACACAATGCCATACATACACATACACACACGTAGTACAGTTCACCTTCAGTTCAAAGATAAGCTACAGAGCACTGCGTAGATGCTGCATTAGCTAGCCGGGCGTGCTGATGCTGACTGGTTTCTTCTCCTTTTCCGATGACGAGTTCAAGCTTTTTACTTATTTTAGCGAACGGCGCCGTCGTGGAACTCAGCCGCAGCCAGCTGGGGAGGTGTGCTCTGAGTTGCGGTGATTGAGATTGATCCCTGAGACGATTCCTGGTTGATTTCTGGTTGATTTCTGGTTGATTTCTGCTATCCAGATTCAAATCTCTGGCAACTTGACGCTGGAGGATATCATCCATCCTCGTCCGTCCTCCTTCTTCCTTCTTCCTCTTTCCCTCCCCCCAAGGTATAGAGTCGTCGCTCTCTGCTATTCGCATATACTATACTCTTCCCCCGTCAAGCCCCCAATGGCCAGCCCCACCAGAGATCCACAGGATGTGCCTCACCGGCCTGCAACCGCCGACTCCGCGTCCAACCCCAGCCCTGACTCGAATTTGAATTCGAGCGCGAACTCAACCTCTCCGCAAGAGCAGCAGCCTGCCGGTGGTTTTGATAGCACTCCCGTCCCCCCCGCGCCTCCGGGCTACACCCTCAAATTCACCTTTCACCGCGCGTCCAACCTCCCGATTGCTGATATCCGGACCTTATCAGCCGACCCTTTCGTCCTCGCCCATCTTACTTCCGACCTTCCTCGTCGCAACAAGCAGGACCCCGATCTCGTATTCCGAACGCGCACGATTCCAAAGAACGTCGAGCCTGTGTGGGATTCCCACTGGATTGTTGCCAATGTCCCTAGCTCCGGTTTCGAGCTGAAATGCCGCATATACGATGAGGACCCCGTCAATAGCGATGACAAGCTCGGGAATGTCAAGATATCCGTCCAGTCCCTCAGCGAATCTTGGCCCGGGATCATTGAACAGCCCTACAAGGTGCAGAAGCGGACGGCCAGCAAGCGGGCCTACTTCGTACGGTCTTTGAGCGTGGTCTGCTTGAGGAACAAACACCTGCATGCAACTCTGTACCTCAGCGTCCAATGCCTAGGCAGGACTCCGGGCGACGAAGGTGGCAGAATGTATACTGTTGGGCCCAACTACTGGAGCAAGCATTTTTCGCCCTTGATTGGGAGGCTTGCTGGTACAATGGATTATGACCCCTCTGAGAATGGCGAGAAGCCGGTCAGCAGGTATAAGTACGTGTTTCCCTCATCCGGCCCGCTTCCATACTGGTATCCTTCGTTTCGCAAGCGGCTTATACCGTAGTTACTGTTGTCCCACAGTTTCCAGGCTATCCAGATGCAGCTGAAAGGCCCGGTACCCGCGTCCCTGTACCATCGATACGTTGAATTCAGACCCTTCGTCAAAGGCATGTTCACCGCGCAAAGCCTTCGTGGCCGCATTCTTAACCACGCGCTTCATCAACAGCACGTCCGGATCTACAATTTCGATAGGTCCACCGTCTACGGCGTATTTCCTGCTCCATCGCTCCAGTTCACGCAGCAGTTTCTCGAATTCGTCCACTACGACATAGGCGGGAGAGTGTTCACCTACGTGATTACGCTGGACGGCCAGTGGCGCTTTACTGAAACGGGCAGGGAATTCGGCATCAACATGCTCAGCAAACACACCATGCACAGCGACGTTTCGATCTACATCGCCTATTCTGGGGAATTCTTTGTTCGACGGCGGCCGCATCATTCTCGGAAACGGCGCAGCATATCTCCTCGTCCGGAGTCGCAGGATGGTGATTGCATGCACAGCGAGATATCGCCAGGCCATAACCATGCTCCCCTGCACACATCGACCGACCCCGCTGCCTACGAGCTTGTGATTGACAATGAAAGTGGCACATATCGCCCCAATCCCAAACTACTCCCCGAATTGAGAGAGTTCCTATCCATGAACCTCCCTGGTTTACAGGTGACCACGTATGACTGCCAGGGAGACTCGAAGGTGTTGGAAAAGCTCAAGGAGGAACAGCGAGAGCGTAAAAGAAGAAGCGGGCGGCAAATGACCTATCTCCAACGCTCGAGCTCGTTCTCGTCGATTTCGTCTTCCGACGAAGAAGACCTGGATGAATATTTTCGGCAGTCCTCCGGTGGTACTGCTGCTGCGCCGGCCACGGGTTTGGAGCGCTTGCGGCGGATGGCAAAGCCCAAAGCACAATTGATGAACTGGGCAGAAACGGGACAGGAAAGAAAAACGGAAGCAGCAGCAGCAGGGCATTAATATAACTATGCATCTATGTTACGAAGTAATCAATAATATTGGGTTCAAGTTGAACGTTGGTTATAAATGGAAACCAAATGATAGGGTTTAGCTCCTTTTCCATCATCTTTATATGACATTTTAATTATATTTTTCTTATATAGATGTAAATGTACACTAATCTTTATCAGTTATTGAGAAGAATAATCTAGTTGATAGTTGTACTCTGGTAAGTAGCTAATCTTCTAACCACGCTCAACTAGATGCCCAAGGTAACTAACTTCTTGACGAACTCCGCTGCGATCCCCAAAAGCAGGCTATCGTGAACTTCAGACCACGCGGGCTGCCGTCTGTGCCACCAGGCTGGTCTCAGTCGAACATTCCCTCTCCTATTCTATCAAAAGTCCGCAGGGACATTCTCCTGCCAGCTCTTGGAGAGCCGGTGTCACGAATCCACCTGTTTCCAGCGCGTCCAATGGCCATCACAGCTCCCACAGAGATAGGCGAAGTGCTTTCTGTGACCACACGGAATGAATCGGTGTCTCGCAAAAGAAAAGCCACTCCATCACCAGAGCTTTCGTCTCCTAGAAAATGCTTGATATTGTCTCCCTCTGGCGTTGTCGCGTCAGGGAGCACAATCATCCGCCTGGGTGATGTCCCGCTCTTCGCACCATCGAGGCGTCTTTTCCCATCAGGCGAGGCTATAATCGGTGCGATCCCATATCAACGTTTCGGTTTACTCCCAAATCATGTAGTAGCTGCTAATCGTTGTTCTTCTTTAGCCAATAGGTCGCCTGCTGAGACGATGCACGCCCAGCCTAATTCGCCAGAGTCTTCGACCCCAGCCTTCCAATTCCCCCTTTCCCGCCACATCGTTCTTCCATTCAATCTCCGTCAGAATCGGGACTTTGGCGAGAATTCTAAACTACTATTCCAACTTTTTCCCGAAACCAAGGCGGTGTCTTTTGATGGCTATTTCTTGGTGTTTTGGCTCGGCACCCTACCGCCAAAGCCCTGGCCTACTACGATTGCCGGTGTCCAGCCCTACTTCACGACTGATCCAAATGACGAAGGTCCAACTCCGCCAATCAAACGCAAGAGCAAATCGCGTCTTCGCGTAGCTGCTGAAATTGACGCCACAAAGCTTCAGCCGGATAAAATTGACGGCGCATTCCAGCTGGTCTTTGACTTCTTCTCGAAATCTGAAATTTCCATTACGGAAGTTCAGTACTGGAAACATTTCTTCGTCATTGTTTTGGAGAACGAGGCCTCCTACCTCGCCGAAATCCCCTCTGTGATAGGACGCTGTAGTTGTTTCTACCTGTTCGAAAAGGAGATGGGACGTCCAAATCCGGATGAATATCCGGCCCGCTGGATCCGTGATCCGACCGGCGAAACTGTCGACAACTGCGAGTATGACATACTTCGTCCCGGTGTAATGTTGAGCTCTGGAAGACATCCTACCACCCACCTTGAATATCACACCACGTCCGGTGTCCTTGTTGAAGATTGCCTAGGTAAACAGTATATGACCGTCTCCTCCCACGGTTTTCCAAATGGTGGTAGGGTTTTCCATCCGTTCGAAGGGGCAAAAGACATTGGACAGATTATCATGGAACTTTCGCATACAGATATCGCCCTTGTTAAATTACACGACGGGGTCAACTTTGAAAATGAAACTTTCGAGAGTCCGCTTAGCGTAGCAACACCTACTCGGTTGAAGGAGTTTGTCCTAGCCAACAACACTCAAATCGGCTCCGAAATCTACATGAACAACCCATACCTTGGTTACTCAGAAGGTACCTGTGGTCCGCATGTGCGGATGCACGTGCCGAATGATGACCCCAATGAACCGGAAAAACTACAATGGATCAAGGCGCGGTGGCTTTACTTAGGTCAAGGGTTCATTGACCACCTCGAAGATGGCATTTGTGGATCTGCGATCTGGAATGACGATGGAAATGTCATTGGATTCTTCCGTTATGCTCCGAGGTCGGGGCATTTCCGGGACTGGTGTTGCGCAGTAGCAGCGGACAATGTCATCGATCGCGGTTTCAAGATTGCAGGATAGTTAGCCGATTTTCCTTCTTATAATTGCTATCATTTCCTCCTTACTGAGATTGATTCTATGCAGCATATTTTCATGGGGATTCAAATCGGAGTATATGCGTGGGTGAAAATTGCTCTCTAACTAGACTTATGCTGCTTTCGGAGAACAGGGTTATAGTTGATATCAACTTTAAATGTCTAATTAATGGTCGTTAGCCACTTCTAGTTTATAAAATAAATGAATAACTATCTCGGTTCCGTGTGGATTATTTAATGAAGTTGTTTATCCAACCCGATCATTTGAAAAACTGGGATTAACTGATCATCCGATAAACCCAGATCGAGGATCGAGGGGGTTGTGATGAGGTTATCGTTTTGACACATTACCTGTAGGCAAGGGAAGAGTGGAATTCCATCAGATACCCGTTTCTATCCTATGCTATACTAAATATGTGTCGAGGTAGGTAGATGGTAACAAAACATTCCATAGAACATATTAACTAGCTGGGATACCCATACCACAAAATATCTACATCATTCAGGATCACTTGATACGAACATCAATCGCGTCAAGGTCCGCCATATCATTGTCCCCCACCACCGAATCCGGATGCAACTGGGCGCCATCGAACAGCAACTCAACCGCGCAGTGGGCAGGTATTCCTCGTTTTTCCCGGAAACTCCTGATGATCGACGAGATATGTGTTTTGTGGTTCACTCTTATCTTCAAATGTTCGATACCGGGGGCTTTAAGTGTTAGCAGGAGGACAGCCTGTTTACCTTGAGCTCCTAATTCTGCTCGAGCCTTGCCATCTTCATCCGTCTTGTTGTCATCATCATCATCGTCGTCGCCGTCGTCGTCGTCGTCATCGTCTTCATCACTGCCGCCAGAGTTTCGCTGCGATGCCTTGATCGCCTGTCGTTTCTTCTCTTCGAATAATTTCTCCGTCACGGCTTCCATGTGCACTTCTATCGAGCCGTCATCCTGGCCGGAATTACGGTCGTCGTCGTCATCATCGTAATAGTTTCTTATGGGCAGTGGTTGTAGCAGCCCTTTTTCCTTCTCCTGCTGCACTCCTAAACTCTTGCAGGTCGTCACGTCGAATAATCGTCTACCCTTCCAGGTCAGAAATACGGAAGTGGTCATGTCGTCGTCGAAGCCTTGCCGGCTACACCAAGCTCGGCGCACGTCGCGAAGATCCTGGTTCAGTCGTCGCTGGACGATGAGCGAACTGGTGTTTGGTATGTCGGAAGTTATCAGGATCCTCACGATGGGCTCCATGCGCTGGCTTTGTCTGTTTGGGGTGTTGCCGGTGGATTTTGTTATTGTGTGGTTGGGGTTAAGGGGTTGAGCTGCTCGTGCTCCTCCCGGTGCTACATTCGTATCAGATCCAGAGTTGTTAGCTAAGGCTGCTAGTCGTTGTCGCGCTCGCTCCCGGGCTTTGCGCGCTAACTGGGCATACTCCTCTTCTTCATATAAGCCATCATTGGTATCCTCGTTGTCATCATCAAGATTATGGTTTGATAGCTGTTTATTGCGTGGCTGAGAGGCTCGCGTTTTTTCTGACTCCAGTCGTAAAGGATCCTCATCCGAGTCTGAATCCAGTTCTACAACTGCTGCTGCTGCTGGAGGTGGTTCATTATTCATTTTATTAGGTGGACTATTGGCTTTCGTATGTGTCATGGCTTCTGGTGGTTGTTGGCCCTGTGTTGCGGGTATCATCTTCTTGATATCTCCCAGATCCTCACCGGGCTTCTCACGTCCATGAGAATCCAAGATTTGAGAACCAGTCGATGACGCACTTTCCTCGCGAGAGATGCGCCGCCGTTTCGAGTCTCTCGACTGTGTTTCTTGCGACCGGTGGCCTTGTAAAGGTTGGCTTCCCTGCTTATCATCTACTTCATCCTCATCCTCATTCTCATCCCCTTCCTCTTCTGGTTCCCTGGAGATAATATCAGTGTAGACTTGTTCAGAGCGCCGATAAAAGTCGGCTGACTGGCCTGGGCTACTTCCCGATTTCGCCCAGTCTGGTTTCTTGAAGAAAGATCGCATATTTATTGTCTCCGGCCTTCTCGCGCATTCGAATAGATATTCTGTTGGTAGATCTGTCAGTGATACAAGAATTAATCCAGAAGCGCTTTGAGGAACGGGTGATGTTACAGGAAGAACACTGAGCCATACTGCAAGCGGATGTATGCCGAGATAGCAGTGGAGAGAGTGTGATATTGGAAGAAAGCTCTCTGGTCACAATATTTAACTGAATAAATAATGAATGAACTTCCACTCAGCCGCCAAGAGAGAATCAACCCTGGACCCGATTCAACCACGAACACAATCTTTAAATATCTAAATAACTAAATCAAAACACGTACTGGGTCACCTTTGATTTCTTCATTCTGCGGTTCCATATATTTGCCATCGGGCTATTTAGCTTCCCCACGGACATATACAGCGTATAAATATCCCCTGCCATGGAAAACGGCTCCGCCTCTGAGGGCAAAGATCCCTCCGCATTCCTCAGCGAAATCACCGGTGCCCCCGTCACGGTCAAGCTGAATTCCGGCGTGGTCTACAAAGGTTTGATATGTTTTCTATCACGCTGGTGCTTATATATATTGCAGTTTGCTTAACTGCTGTATTGTGGTTTAGGAGAGCTGCAGTCTGTCGATGGCTATATGAATATCGCGCTGGAGAAGACCGAGGAATACGTTGATGGAAAACTGAGACGGAGTTATGGCGATGCTTTTGTGAGGGGGAATAATGGTATACATATATCTTCTCTTCTCTCTTGTCTCCTTGACCGTTTATCTCTTTGATTTGCTCTCCTGCTAACTGCTCGTTTTCTCCTTCAGTCCTTTATATCTCAGCCGATTAACAATCAACCCTCATAGTTATTTCCTCTTCGTTTCATATTCCGGGGAGGGGAATAGCTTTACGAAATGACCATGATATATTATACAAGAGAAGCTGCGAGAGGACAGACAGACAGATCGCCTCCCTCATCCACTTTCTTTCCTCATTGCCGCGACACAAAGTTCAGCTTTGTAATGTCCATGTTTTGCCCGGTGTATAACGGCATACCGCTGTGAGGAAATGGGTATTTCTCTAACTTGATAAATATATGTTGTTGTAGTTGTCGTTGCTGCTGATTTATTTCATGCGGATGAGGGATGCGAGGTGTAACGCTCTTCCTGCATACCTTGCCTACCCACTGTGTCCCGGAACGGGGGAGTAAATGAAATAGGGTTGTCCTTTGTCTTCGTCGTTTGCGAATGGGTTTCTTTGATATTTGTTTTTTTAACAGACTCCAATGCAATTTGCATGGCTGATCTTTTCTACGCTTTACAGGCGCACCCAATTTTGCAAGTGAAAAGTTTGGACATTGCCTCCGTCCCTTTGATCCCTGTGTTTTACGCACGTTCTACGGCCTCTTTGGCGGCTAGTGTTGGTGAGCATAGGGCTTTCGTTGTGGCCATGAATTTTCGAGGCATTGGATATAGTTATATACTTGCATGGAAACCACGTCATCTGCGGTTCAAAAAAGTGACCATCAGTTCGCATTTTGCGGGTGTGGATTTAAAAGGAGAACCGCTGCGGAGTTGATTTTTTAATAAAATGAAAATTAACTAGAGGTTCACCATATTCGATCAATCCGTTTGTATCTATCCGATCCGGGATAAAATATGTAGCGCGGAATCTGGAGGGGTAAAAAGACAAAATTTATAAATCTCAGCCAAACCCCGCCATGCAAAGGTCCAACGAAATATCAACCCTCATATCAAGCACCAGCTACCTACTCATAAGGCCATTTACTATATATACATACATCCGCGCCCTTTGCAATAAAGAAAGGCAAAAGAAGTAAAGACAAAAAGCACACTACCATGACCCTTGTCGCCATCACCTACACTCGCGGCTCCCTGCACATCCTCAACCAGCTCCTCCTCCCCCACCAGACCACCTATGACCCTCTCCACTCGGCGCGCGATGCCTGGCACGCCATTCACGAAATGCGCGTCCGTGGCGCACCGGCCATCGCCATCGTGGCTGCCCTCTCCCTCGCCGTAGAGCTCCATACGCTAGCGACCAATAATCAGCTATCCGCGGAACCCAAGGACGTTGAACTGCTTATCCTGGAGAAGTTGGAGTTTCTGGTCAGTAGCCGGCCGACGGCGGTGAATTTGGCAGAGGCGGCCGGGAGGCTGGGCCGGATTGTTAACGGTAGAGCGCAAGTGCAGGGGGTTGGTGGGAATGAGGTAGCGGAGGCGTATATCGAGGCTGCGGAGAGGATGCTGGAGGATGATGTAAGGGATAATAGGGCCATTGGGGAGTCTGGGGCAAAATGGGTGCTGGAACATGCAATCACTACTAAAGGGTCTATGTCGGGGACGGGGCAAGCGAAGGTTGCAGTGTTGACGCATTGTAACACTGGGTATGTTAATTATGTTGATATGGAGGGACGTATTCGTTCTAGCAGTTGTGAAATGCGTTGCAATGCGTTGCTAATAGTGTATTAAATATCTTACAGCTCCCTCGCTACAGCCGGCTACGGCACAGCCCTAGGCGTCATTCGCTCCCTACACGCCACTGGGTCCCTCGAGCGTGCCTACTGCACAGAAACCCGCCCGTACAACCAGGGCTCCCGCCTAACCGCATTCGAGCTCGTCCACGACAATATCCCCGCCACCCTCATCACAGACAACATGGCCGCAGCCCTCCTCGCGCGTCAGAGCGCAGGCCCAGCTCAAAGTGTGGGCGTAAGCGCCATAATCGTCGGAGCAGACCGTGTGGCCGCCAACGGCGACACGGCCAACAAGATCGGGACATATGGCCTAGCCGTGCTGGCGAAATACCACGGAGTCAAGTTCCTCGTCGCGGCGCCGCGGACGACCATCGATATGAATACGAAGACCGGTGCGGATATTGTTATTGAGGAACGGCCCGAGAAGGAGGTCACAAAGATTCGGGGGCCGCGGGTTGGAGAGGAAGGAAATGGACTTGGGGCGATGGAAACTATCACGGTTGCAGCTGATGGGATTGGCGTGTGGAACCCGGCGTTTGATGTTACGCCTGCGGCACTTGTCGATGGGATTATCACGGAGGTCGGGGTCGTTGAGAAGGACGGAAGCGGGGTGTTCCATCTGGAGCGGATTTTCTGATCGAGGACGACATCATTCATTGCCCCGCGTGTTGTTTGTGTTGTTGCCTGTGTTGTCTCCAGTATCTGTCTGGTTTTCGGGCTTGGAGAATGTTTGTGGAATGCCACGAGTGGCATCTGAATTTCCCGACGATTCAACGGCAGCCAGGAGACTTTCTATCTTCTCCTCCAGACTAGCGAGATGGTCCTCAAGAGCTGAGGCTGCTCTTTCACCGCTGTATACCCATAAGTATGCATTAGTTTAGATTTTTGTTTGAGTTTCTAGTTATCAGATAGATATGACGACCATGCATTAACTGAAGTGGTTAAATGCGGCGGGGGAGTACAGACTCTGCGATATCTTTGAACGCCTGTGAAGATGTGAGTGGGGATCAATAGCGGGTAGGTGGGGCTGATATTTACCTGGGCGAGACAAGCCTCGGGGGACTCATCTCCGTCGACAGCTGCATTCCCGTTTGTCGGCATGGCGATCACACTCCTACAGCAGGACACAGGCTGAATATTATCGTGGAGAGCAGACTGAGATTGACGATGTTTGAAAGAGGTTGGCCTCGGCTGGAGTCATGTGATTGCTGTGACATCATCGCCAAGACCATGGCCTGATTAGGTAATCACATCATCGCCAAATTTCGCTTGCGATAGTTAGTAACAACATTTTATTGTTTATTTATTTATTTATTTATCTAGTTGACTATTCATTTGTATTATTATATAGCTATATTTTACTTATATACTGCAGCGCAGCAGGATCTGTTTACCCTAAGATCCATCTCCTCTCCCATTCGGCGATTGTTGTCCCCACCCTCGTACGTCTTCTCCGCGCCGCTGTTGTTCTCACGCCGCCCCTTAGCCAGGCCAGCCTAAAGAAATACCTAGCTCCTGAAGGACAGCTGGCCGCATCGCCGGCTGATATCATTCGATCTAAGAACGACTCGATCGATTTGCTGGACTTCTTCTCTCTCCCGCTTCCTCACCCCTTTTCAAACACAAGGATATATATTCTTCGCTTTCTTCTTCCTCCGCGTGTTCACCAGCAACCAGACCACAAGAAACTTAGTATTATAACCCTCACAATGGTATGCGGCCATGTTCGACTTTTATCTACAACCAACTGAGTCGTAGTACTAAAAATGATATCTAGGCACAAACCCCCCAACAGCGTCGAGCAAATGACCGCTTTGCCAAACTCGAGGCTGCAAAGCGCGGCAAACCAGAGACCGGTGTGAAGTCGAAGAAGCAGAAACCAAAGTCGCCGGTACCTCTTGGCTGGGTTGGTACGTTTTGCCTCTGCACGTATATATTCGGGTGTAGGACGTTATTAACTGATACATATTGGTGGTTGTTACGGTAGTCGTCCTCGCCTTCGTCGTGTGTGGTGGAATGCTGTTCGAGCTCGCGAGGGTTGTCCCGGAACTATGGGCGGTCATTTGGGCATTTGTGTCGAAGTGGACGGGTTAACGCGTAAAAGGAAAAAAAAAGGAGGAAAAAGGAAAAAAGAGAAATGGGAATGATTGAAATATTATTCTCCTTTACGCTTTGAATCGACTGCTCTTTTCTCAAAGCGTGGAAATCGCCTGCCTCGCCTGGTCTTCCCGCACCGATACATCAACTGTCTACTGCCGCCCAGCTCATCCGTCGCCCATGAGAGGCGTTCTCTTTTGGCCCTAATTTTTGCGAAATCCGTCGTGTCGTGGTCTAGAGTTCCGACGCCTGTGGATTCCATTTCTGTTTGCATCCGTGCCCATTCTCCATTTCCCCCCCGCTCTTCCTAGATTCTATTGTCTTTCCTATTATCTGTATTAACATCTTCATCTAGGCTTATATGTCGTCATTCTTCCTTGATGCTTTGTTCAGCCTAGCTGAAATATGGAGAAAATGACCGGCGTTTCATTATCTCTTTTTATTACATACCTGTGTTAGTAGTTCATCTTGTATCTGTCCCAATTATTTATCAATTGTCTGTCTGTCGATCTCTCTATTTGTGTTCTCCATGTAAAATCGGCGTAGGAATGTGTCATCCTGTTTACAATGCTTTTACTATTCAGCAAGAGCATTGCCGCTAGTTTTGACTAGACCACAACCATTTACTCTAGGCTAGGTAGCAGATGGAATGCTTGACTCTTGCCTATCATGGACGTCGTCCCATTTATGCATGTCCATATATCTGATACATACATAAAGTACCCCGTATATTTATAATATTATATGCCACCCCCTAAACCTTATAGATCCTCATCAACACCAGCACTCGGACCGGCAGCAGCAGCAGCAGCAGCAGCAGCAGAAGCGGCGGAAGCAGTATCTTTCTTTTTCTTAGAAGATGACGACGTTTGCTTCTTTTTCTTCCGTTTCACTTCGACTTCTATCCCGCCTCCGCCCACTTCGCTACTAGTCATTGCATGATCGTTGGTACCGCCAGTAGCTGTGGCGCTTGGTGTCAGAGATTTGTCACCACCAACACCACCTTCCTTACCCGGTCGCTTCTTCGTTTTCATCTGAGCCTTCGCCTCCTTCGCCTCCGGATCACCCTGATCCTTCTTCTTCTTTTTCTTACGCTTAACAAGTGTCCCCTCCGGTGGCACACCAGGCGCCTGTACCCGCTCTGCTGCCCGCTGCATCTCTAACCTCAGCCTCTCAATCTCCCGCATCGCCGTGGCCATCTCCGCCTCCTCCGCTTCCCGGCGTTCGATATCGTGTATACTCAGGGCCGGCGCTGCTGGCCCTGGCCAGCTAGGCTCTTCGAGAGAAAGATTAGATAACCCGCTCGAATCGACTTCCAGCAGCGAGCGTTTAATTTTGGGTTTCCCCGCAGTTGCCGTAGTCTTTGTGACGCCTGTCGTGGATGCAACGCGCTCGTCGGTGATGGTTATTGTTTCGTCGCCCAGTATTTCCACTTTTTTGCGCTTTGAATGGGCTTTTTTTGGTGGTCTCTCTCCTACCCTCGTTGCTAATGGCGATGTTGTCGTTTCACTGCTTTCGATCGCTAGGTCAATGATGGGGATGGAATCGATATCCAGTTCCTCGCCATTGGATGTGCGAAGGACTTGGTGGAAGGGAGTTGAAGTTCCCGACGACCCCTCCTCGTATGCAATGTAGAATGGATCGTCTCTGTTTCGATCCTTGCGCTCAGCTCGTCGGCGGTCTTTGGCTTCGGCATTTTCGGCAAAATCGTCAGGCATATTTTGGTAGGATGGCTGCATGGTGTTGGGTATTGTGGATTCTTTGATGTAGGCCTGAAGTTTCGTACTGGCGGTCTCGGGGGTGTAGTAAAAGTCTCGAAGGTCACCTTGATCGGATGCACCCAACCAGTCGTTCTCTGATTCTTTGAGAATGTGGTGGAGTCTGTCGTTTAAAGGCTTGTCTAAGTCAAGATTCTCTGGAAGAGGAACTTTCGCCTGAGCGCCCACGGCGACAGGATTAAGTTCAAGACCAGTGAATAAGCTCGGAATCGCTGATGACAGGAGAAGTGGAGCATCAGTGCAATCGGCGCCCTGCGATGAGATAGCCTCTGCAGTGAGACGGAGGAGTTCGAGAAATTCAATAGCGCGTTCCTGAACATCCAAGTCAGGGTGAGATGATAGCTTCTCTAGAAAGTCAGTGACTCGTGCTAGCAGAAGAGAAACCTCGCTTTGTCTCGAAGAATCCCAGCCTTGAAACTTCGTCGTCAGAGAAACAAAGACCTTTGGTATGGCCTGAAGATAGGACGACAAAACAGCGCTCGGTAGGGAAATATTGGAGGGGTGAATCAACGACGTGAATGTGCGATCAGGGACCTCTAGGTATTCTGCATATTCCCCAACTATCCAGGCACAAAATTCGAGTATATCAGCACTCACAGCACTGGCGGCGGGGAACAGAATCGCTCGATTATCCATCAATACCAATGATTCTGCAGCTCGAGTGCCTTCGGGTCTCACGCTTTTTACCCGCACAGCGACGTTGCGAAGTTCGTATCCAATCCGAACTGCAACGCCACCTTTCTGAGACTGGAATTCCGACGAGCCCGCAGCTGTGCGTGGCGGTACAAGGCGGACCAACTGCACAAGCACCTCAACATACCATTCAAAGTCTACAATCGACGAATATGTATCCCGTGAGCAGATATCCAGTATTCGGTGAAGAACTTCGTTACGATAGTGGTTAGGTAGGGCGAGCACCGATTCATTTCTCTTGTGGGTTGAATGCAGCTGCTCCTCTGGATCGTCTCCATCAATATCGGCTGAGGGAGTTAACCCAACGGGCATGGTAGAGTTAACGTGAGCGTCGTCCATTGTCGCCGGGGACGTTTGGAGTTGGGTAATTAGCCTCGTCACAACTGTATGTAAGGAGTCGCTAGTCACCATGCCGCATACGAGCTCGAGCGCCTGTAACCGGATGGAAATATCGTTGTCATCCAAACAGTCCATGATGACATCTTGTTGCATGGCGACCAATGTCGCGTGCGAAGCCACAATCCTGTTAAATGCAAGAAGCGCAACGTATTTTACTGTAAAGTGTCAGACAGCAATTATTTCTGAAACGGAAGAAAAGATCTTACAGTTGGGATCTCCTTCCATGACAATCATGCCTCGAAGTTTCTCCACGCAGAGATTGGCGATCTCCTCTCCTTCGCGCACTCCATCCGCGTTCTCCAGGATGCCCCCTTGGATTACTCCATTTATACATTCGTAAAGCAAAGACATTGCTGTAGTTGTTTGGATGATATTAAGCAAAGGGCGGAGGAGCTTCCGAACCAGTCGTGGCTCCAGTGGTGTCAATGTTGCAAACTAGATAGTAGATTTAGCTACAGCGCCCGTGATGTGAAAATACGAGCTAGCAATGCTTACCAATTTGATGATTTTGATGGCCATCCAATTATTCCCGCCATCAACCAAAAGGTCAAATAGTCGGGGAGCAAGTGGAAGGAAGTCTTGAGGCCGTCTCCAGCCCAGTTCACAGACAACATTGATGACGGCTGCAGTAACGCTGCTATCCTCTTGATCATCCATCAAGCGCTCCTTGATTTTTGGCCAAGCAATCCTAAAGGCTTCTGGATAGACTAGAGATATCCTGTACAGGTTCACCACCGCTTTCTTTCGGACAGCAGGATTCGAATGAGACAGACGGGGTAGTACGTCTGTCAACAAAGACAACCCTAGGGAAGGAGATATTATATGTGGCAGTGTCAGGAGAGGTAATGACATCGTCGGAACCGCAGGAGACACCATATCCTAGATAATGAGTAAGGGGGTCAGATACATATTTCTCTATACTTAAGCGAATATCATGCATGTCTTTTGCCTACTACCTTCTTTAAAAGATTGGTAGCTAACATGAGAACCTCTGTATCTGGACGAAAGCTCTGCACTGCTCCTAGATACCCGACGCGCTTCAGCGGATATTTCGCCGAAGACATGACTTCAAGTACGTGGAACGCAGCCCAAGACATATCGTATCCGAACATTTCCAGGTATATTAATTTCAGGAGCGCAGTTGCCTTTTTATCTTTTGGAAACAGTCAACCCTGGTGCCCGTTTTCGTTAAAGGGTAGATGAGTAGATCTGCGTCAACAAACCCATATCCTGCGACTTCACCTCAACCCGACACTCCTTAATGCTGTTTTGTATATATTCGACCTCACTCCCCTTGTGATTCCGCAGACCCCGGATGAGGTCGTAAAGCGACTTTTCGAACCTTGCATTAAATGTTAGTTTCAAAGGGCTCTTCTCCATGGCTCATTTGGCGGGGGCGCTGGGAGCTATCAGACATGGTTATTGGAGGGTATGAACTATGAAACCCCCCGGAACTCGAGAACAATCACTCCGGAATACAGAATCTAAATATCTAGCCTTCGCCCAGTGCTGTAGGCATGAGGTGCCTGGGGCTGTTATCGAAACTTGGAGGTGGGATGTGAGCTGTAGGAGGACATGGTTGAAATCAAGATAAATCGTAGTAAATGCTAGTTGATGGACGTATGTCTGGGTTTGCAATGCACCAGTATTCAAGCGAAACAAAAGGTGCCCGCACGCAAGCTACCCGGCTGCTGAGGCTGTTTGCCAGGGCGGGAGAGTATCGAAGATCGAAGTCGGTTTGCTTGGGTGAAGTTGGCGGTTTGGCGGCTCCGGATTCCAATTCCAGCATTGACATCACCATCACGGGGTTCGCTAACGAAGAATTAAAAACTAAGGCCAACGGCGCATCTCCGACTTCAACTCCCGCTCGAACTCCGGCAACTCTTGTCCAACCACCTTCATTCCTCCCGATAGACATCTGTCTCGTCTTCGGAATTCTACATATTGTGCATTTGTTAGTCTATACATCGCCTCGCATCCAAACATACTAGTATACAAAGCTGGAGGATAGCTAGTTACCGGTATCCATTTGATTGTGAGGTGAGCGTTACTCAACCCCTTGCAGGAAAAAGGCTCTGTGGGGTCAATCAATCATGATGGAGTTATTGTGGACTAACATTCCAGTCCTTTACGAAGCGATAATGGCCACCTCCTTGCCTCCAGATTTACAGATGGCGTTGAACTCCCCCGATCCACGCGCTGTCCTACAACTCTCACAACACACTCCATCATTCCTAGCAAGCCACCCTGCGCAACAACCTTCGTTCCCTTTTTCTATGTTCACAACTTCAGAGACCCCCGAACTATGGTTAACATACGAACAACTATTTCTGGCTTGCGTAAGGACGGGGGATGACGATTCTGCACGCCAATGTTTGGAGCGGCTATCAAAACGCTTTGGGCCTGCCAATGAACGCATTATGGCTCTCAAGGGCGTCTACGAGGAGGCGCTTGCAAAAGATCGAGATGCCTTCGAAGAAATCCTTACAGGTTACGAAAAAGTGCTCAAGGAGAACCCAGTGAACGTGGTTCGTGTACTCCCAATTACCCTGATTGTGCGATGCCTCGAAGCATTGAAATTGAAATTGAAATTGATGTCTGGGTCTAGCCAATTCTAAAACGACGCATTGGACTCTTACGATCTATGTCGCGGCCAGTGGATGCGATATCTGCCCTAGTAGATTTTCTCGATGTATTCCCGACGGATGCAGAAGCGTGGTGTGAACTTGCCGATCTCTACCAAGCCCAGGGAATGAGTATGCAGGCTATCTTTTGTTTGGAAGAGGCTCTTTTGGTGGCACCAAATGCGTGGAACGTAAGACATTGTCTCTTAAATTGCGAAATTAACGAGGAACTTGTGGCGGGAGGCCAGAAGCTAATCTTTTCCTTACAGCTTCATGCAAGGCTGGGTGAAGTAGAGTACATTTCATCGACTTCATCGGACAACCAAGAGATGACAGTGAGACTCCTGGCCGATAGCGTCCGCCGGTTTTGCCGAAGCATTGAGCTGTGCGATGATTACCTTCGCGGCTATTATGGACTTAAATTGGTAAGGATTCCTTTCATTCTTCCTTGGACTCTATTTCGTATGGTCCCTGCCGTGCTAACTCACAGCCGCCAGAGTACGAGCCGCCTGTTGGATAAACTATCGACAAAGGCCGCTACCCAACTCAAGGGGGGTGATCACAATCTGCCCACGCAAGAGACACTCACAAAACTGCAGGCCCTGTCGACTAAAAAGTTACACGAGATTGTACATTCAAGATCAGCCGATATCAGGTGTCGGGAGATGAACCAGAGCGAGCTAATTGCGGCCCAGGAATTGCTTGACCGAGAGGGCAAGTAAGAAAAGAAAAGAGTACTGATGACCTTGTGTCCCACATTGTATATCCTTATTCACCTCTCCCTTATATTCTTCCAACCAACCACATGCTGCGTGTGGCACTGGGAGCTTCTCAAAATTGGCCCTATCCATACCTTCAGACCACTGTGATCCTTGACATGATCCAGCCGCCGACTACCCACTTTCTACTTGCTGCAACCCTAGAGGACTTGCTCGCCTGCAATTAAATGGCTGGAAGCACCGGAACAGGGCGACAATGAATGATTTTAGATTCATATCCACCATTGGTAAGCAACTCACAAGGGACGACGGAATTGTACCATTATAAACCGACACTCTCTGATGCCAGATCAAATCCTTTCCCCCTTGTCATAAAAATGCTTCATCATGTCATCTACATTCTTGTTTTTATCAAACGCATCTAATTTTACATGTTCATTATAATTTTATTGTTTCCATTTTATTTTTCCCTTTTCCTTGTTATCCAGCCACAATTCAACGCAATCCAAACTGCTCTAATTTCATACAATAACTCCGTAACGTTTGTTTACGCTTTATATTGAATTTCTCTCATTTGGATATGGAGCTTCTCTCCGTTCGATTGGGTCCTCAAAGGTGCCTTGCGACTAGTGCAACTTAGGTTGGGCAGGAAGAGCGACGTGGCACCAAGCAGGTTGACATTATATATTATTTTTGCTCCTGCTGCCTTCTTCTTCCCGCCTCTTCCCATGTGGGACGGACGACCAGGACATGAAAACCAGGTGGGGCTTTTGGTTGCCTGTCCAACCTTGTGAAATTCGAAAGGGAGCCAGGGGATTCATGATGTGCATGAATGTATATGCATGCAAAAAGGATTGATTTGGCTGGTTGATTTTCTCCCTTTTTTTTTTTTTAAAAAAAAAAAAAAAATGGCAAAGTATTTTTATCCCTCTCTTTTCTCACCGCTTCTATATACCATGCCGACTCCCAATGGGTGGGTTGAGGGAGGGGTTTACGATTGATGCAGCCACACAAACACAACTGCCCGACCCAAGCTGGACGAATTGTTTAATTTGCCTTCTAATTCCGCGTCCTTTTTCCAATCGCGATTGGGGCAAGTTTCCAGGTTGGCCGAACAGGCTGGTGGCTGTTATAGGGGCAGATCGTGCTAGAAAGCGGTAACATCAAGCCGCATAGCAAAGTCAAGTTTTTCGGGAAATGATGCTCCGTGCGTGTTTGTGTGAGTTTAGCTCCCGGGACCTACGTACAGGACACGAGACGGCGGGCAGGACCTTTCTTATCAATCAGCCTCCCTTTTGGATTTTGAACTTGGGTTTGATTTCGATTTTCGATTTCCAGCTTGCCAGGACTTGACTCATTGTTCCCTTTGCGGCCTCTGGACATTTTAATGATATATCTGGTCCAAGGGTTGATTTTCCGTGGCGGAAGGCTCTGCGCGCGGGAACTCTACTGATCCGGATGATGTGGTGCGAAAAAATTGCTGCCGTAGGGCATACATCGGATCCTCATTCAGTCCTCCTTTTTTACCATTTTCTCATCAACCTCAACCTTCCTGTTTCGGCTGCGCGTATGCCATATGTAGCAGATATGGCTTCTCTCTGTCGCTCCCTCGCTGCGACAACAACAAATGAGAAATTGCATTCAACGCATCACACTGCAATGACAACTGACAATGCCAGTCACAGTCCACGTCTCCCATGCCCTCAACGACCCTCACCATTGGATTGCAACCCCCCCCCCCCCCCTTAAGCGTATTGGAACAGCTGCCTGGCTGCCTATCTTCTTGGGATCCGGTGGGTTAGACCTCCCCTTCCTGCCTGAGTCTCACGTCTTGACTGTTCATTGCGTGGGCTGTCGCCCTAAGTGTTGGTTCTAGAGGTCTGGGGCAGCAAAACTCATGCTGGTTGGGGGATGCCGATAGGGGTAGGAAGGAAAACGAAACGGCAGTTTCCATCGTCCCCTCTCACTTTACTATTTAGCTGAGAGGTGTGGTCGTACGTGATTGACTGACTAACTACAGGTATAAAAAAAATAAAAATAAAAAATGAACTAGACACGGCAGAGGGCGGGGGTGTACGATGTGTGTACGATGTCCTGTGGCATGTATGATATACGTATGTAGGAGGCCGATTCGGGATAGCTTTTATGTTGCTGACGAAAAAGAAGGTTGGGCGATGGGCAAAGTCGGGCCAAACGATGGGCAGTTTGCTACAGGCTGGAAGCACTGGGA